TTCACAGCAGATCTTTAGTTAGTAGTAGTAATAGGATGTGTGAAATAGGAAGAGAACCGGATGCTTATTTCGGATTTTATGATCGTTTCAGTTATTCAAAATTGTGACCCTTTGTGGGGGAGGTACCAAAAGGAATGGTCCGATATTCACCATCTTTATAACTTATCTTGTGTTGATAGAAATATTGAGATGTGCCAATGGAATCGGAAGTTCATTTCTTGTATCATGAGCTTCTTGAATATTCAAAATGTTGACCCTTTGTAGCGGAGGTACCAGAAGTAGTGGACCGGTATATCCCATATTCACAGCAGATTTTGTGTTAGTAAAAATAATGGGATGTGGGAAATATGAAGAGAACTGGGTGCTTATTTCGGATTTGATTATCGTTTTGGTTATTCAATACTTTGACCCTTTGTGGGGATGGTCTGATCTCTACCATCTTTATAACAGATTGTGCTGATAGAAATATTGAGATGTAACAAGTCTATATGGAATCGGATGTTAATTTCGCATTTTATGAGCTAAATGCATTCTCAAAATTGTGACCTTTTGTGGGGGAAGTACCAGAAGGAGTGAACCGGTATATTCCATCTTCACACCAGATCTTGGGTTAATAAAAATATTGTGATAAGTGTAATTTGAAGATAATCGGATACTTTTATCACAACTTATAAGTGTTATTATTATTCAAAATGTTGACCTTTTGTGGAGTGGGCCGATACTTCCCATTTTTGCACCTTATCAAGTACTGATGCAAATATTAGGATTTGCAAAGTTAGAGCAAAATTGGATTATCCTTTCTCTTGCTGTGCAGTAAATTATTTTCTTTGAAAATGTTGATATTTTGTGTCCATCTCCAAACTCGATCTATGCTTGACAATAATATTACGATGTACCAAGTATGGATAAAATCGGATACTCCCTTCGAGAGTTATCGTGCACACTAGCCAGCCAGACAGGCAGACGGACGGACATGGCTAGATCGACTCCAAATGTCCCGGAACGGATTTGGTCCAAAGAGACCTAGGGTATAAAACCGTTATTTCGATGAGGCACGTTTTAGCCGTATGAAATGATATAGGGTATATATCATTTGATACGGCCTCTATCCATATGACTGAAAATATGCCTTGGTAGGCACAAATCCGCATGCTTAAAATCAGAAGATATATCTTAATAGATCAGTAAAGGAAAATGTTGGGTATTGTTCAAAGAGGAACTAATGTCCTGTACCTCTATGCAGGCGGTCTGGTCCCCTCCAACATTATGGTACATTCTACATGTAAATTCACCTCTCCAATGTTGGACATGTTCTAAATACCACCAAATGCGTGCTCTGTTCTAGAAGCTAATGGTTTGCAACACTGGAACTGAACAACTTTTTTGACAGTCTATGTACCTAATAAAATACTCACACTGACTGTTTTTACATCCAAATGATATTGAAAAATACTAACAATTTGAACTGTCTACCATAACGTGTTTTCACACCCACCATACGTACATTAATGAAACCGTATGTACATACATACAATTTCATTTATTTAAAAGTATATAATTGCCTGCTACACATTGTGTATAGTATGTTCAGCCTATTTTTGGTATCTATCGATTATTCTTTTATACTCTTTCAATACACCATTCGTTTTTGATTTTTTGTTTTGTATTACTTGTACTTTCTTTGCTTGTCTATTTGTCAGCTTATGCAATGTGTGGGTTTGACCGACCGGCATGTCGATATAGCCATCGGTGTGATTTTGGGGGACAAGGTGCTGGTGCACCAGTGTTCCACAGGGAATGGCAGCTTGTACATGGAACTAGCTGGTGGGGACTTACTATGTTGGGGTTTACAAAGTCCGAAAATTTAAGGGGTTTAAAGAAAAAAAAAAAATAAAGAAAACCTAACATTTTATTTGTTCTGTGTGGAAGTTGTAGAAAATTATTAATGAAGAAAATTGTTAAAGAACTATTATATTACAATTATAAGTATTATTATATTTTTAAGGGGCAAAAAAATAATGTAAGCTATTTTTTCTAAATTTCCAATAAACCATAAAAAAGATATTTTCAAAGACAATATTTGCAAATGGTATTCCAATCCTATTTCTGATGCGGTCTTAATTTTTATTATGAAGTATATATGCCTATGAATAATATTGTTATTCTATTAATAATAATTCTAGTTAGTGGAACCAAGTGGGTTGGTTATCCTTCAAGTTTATTTCAACTTCCGCCAATATTTATTTATTTCCTTTTTAATTAATTGTTGTTTATAAACTATTATATACATAAATGAACGATATGGAGAACACTTCGTCAATTGGAAAATTGTGAATTGAGAATAGAATCAAAGTCCGGAAAGCTGACTATTTACATTTAAAAAATCACTTTGGGTGTTTGAAAGAAATGTTTACATTCAATTCGATATTGGGTGGTAAATACGTATTAAAACAATCTTAAAAGTATCAGCCGGTTTTGCCAACAGGTGAATTCCCTCAGTTAATATTCGTTAATTTAAATATATTTTGGCTTCCGTTTTGATTTTTCAAATTATTGCCCCTTTATGGGGTTGGTTCTGAAGGAATGGGCCAATAAGTCTGATATAAATATTATAAAGTGCCAGATTTGGATTACAGGGTGAGATAAAAAAAAATAAAAAAAACTACAACAAAGTCAGACGCCATAATTTTAACATTTTTTTTTTTAATTTTATTGAATGAAAACAAAAAATGTCGGAAATAGCATCAAATTTTAGAATACGTTTAGATTTGTTCGAATTGATCACCTTTGGCACAAATTATGACCTTAAAACAGTCAATGAAACTGTCACACGCTACCCGAATGTTGCTCTGCGGTATTATGGCCCATTCCCGGTGAAGCGCTTGCTTGAGGTGATCGACACTTTGGTATATTTTAGTGCCAACCTAGCTTTCCAAAATACTCCAGATACAATAGTCCAACGGATTGGTATCCGGAGATTTTGGTGGCCATTGTGCGCTCGAAATAAAGCGAGTAACCTCATTTTGTAACCGATGCCACGGTCGATTAATACGAGCGAGAGCGACCATGGGCTGTTATGGCGGACGTGGCCGGCGCTTGAGTTCTGGTGGCCAACTGAAGGTGCACCTTTTCAGCTGACCTCTTGGGCAAGTAAACACTATCATTTTGTTTGTTTTCAAGCTGCTGGACAACGAATGTTTTCTCATCGGAGAAAACCAAATTCGGCAGTTCACCTCTTTCGTCCAAGCGAAGCAAATCTTTAGCTCTTTTGAGTCTTTTTTTTTTTGTGTTGCGATGTAAGTTCTTGCACTTTTTAGCTGATTTCTCAACTCAGCTTTTTCGAGCTCATTTTTCAATATTTTGCCGAATGGAATATTGCGATATGTTCAGCCCACAAGTCGCTTCTTTACTTTTCGAATCATTTCTGCTGATGTTGCTGATTTCTTCCGTCCACTTCCTTGACGTCGGGCTACACTACCAGTATCACGGTAACGAGCAATGGTACGAGACACAAAATATTTATTCACATTTAAATGCTGGAGTGCTCTAATGATAGCCAGCTGTGATTTTCCAGCCAAATATAAAGAAATCACACTATCACGCTTGAATTCCATCACGAATAACGTTTTTTTTTTCTGAAAAATTCTCACCAAAATGCTTTTGTACGCTTGTCGGATGAGTGTCTTAGAAATGACAGCAGTCTGAAGTTGGTTGCAGTTTTTTTATCTCACCCTGTAAGAGGGTTGCACGCTAGATAAATAGACCTCTGTGGCCATATGACTGATTCTATAGGAAGGCGATAAGTATTAATGGGCCAAACTCACAATACCCTCAATCATTCATCAGGGAATAGAAATACTACCGAATGGACTCGATCCGAATAATCTTTATAAGCATTTTTGTTCTTACGAATAATTCTAAATTCCAATACTATTGTCAAATGCTTTTTAAAGCTCTGAAAATTTCGGATTCCAGGACTGTTGGTACATATAATCGATCTGGGCTTAACTCTAGTTTAATAAAATCTCTTAATTTTTTTCGAAATTTTTTCAGTGGTAGGTATTTTAATTTTAACAGACCCGGGACCCGAAAGTCCGGATTCAAGACCCCTACTAGACCCGGATCCAATTTCGCGATATAGACAATAAATGACCCGAAAAAGTTACCATCATGTGACCACTTGATGGGTAGGTTTTCATAAGCTTTCCAACGACCTAAATTGTCTATATCAGGTAAGTGGATCCGGGTCCAGCCCAGGTCTTGATCCCGGACATTCGGGTCAATAATCTGGGGTCCCGGGTCCGTCCCCTAAGAACATTTTTTTCCCAGAATCAATATCGATAATATCAATATAACTAATATCGAACGGCACTGTTATATAGGGGAGAAAACTTTAGATTCCAAATTATTGTCCATTTCCGTAGAAAAACATGAACGAAGCCTTCGAAATCCCTAACTAATAACTTTTCCCCAAAACCTTTTCGCCCTACCACTGAATGCCTATGATTTTCAAAACAAAGAAAAACAAGTTTCCCCATCTTGTGGCGTATGTGTATCAGTGAGGACACAATAAAATGAAAACTAAAACAGAGAAAAAAAAACAACAACTGCGATAAAAAAAAGTGTTCAGTGCAAAAGTGCAATAACTGTTTAACAAACAACAAGAAAGATATTAAATGTAAAGGCCAAGCTGTGCATACAAAGCAACTGCTCGCACGCACATACACACACACCAACTAGCTATAAATAAAATATGTATACACACAAATACACAATGTAGAAGACAATAAGAAGACGAAAAAAAAAACTTAACAACGCAAAAGAATAGCGAAATAAATGTAAAATTGAAACACACGTTTTTTTTTGTATTCAAAAATGTTATAATTAAACGCATATTTATTAATATGTTTGATAAGCATAATTATAAAAAAAATTAATACTTATGCATTAATATAATTCACGTTTGTTGTGTATTTTCTTTTTCTTGGGACTAATAGTAATATTAGAGGATTAGTTTTTTATTCTTTGTAATGGCAAAACTTTTGTGATTTGATAAATTATTGAAATAAAATTATTATAAATCACAAGAGATTTGCATTATAATAAAGAGGGAGGGATAATATATAACTTATTTAATAGTAACGATATAAATTTTCTAAAAACTACAAAAAAGTTATAGAGAGGGATTTTTAGGTGATTTTAAAACGATTTTTGTCAAAGAAGAATGGTGATTTTTGTATGGTTACAATTAAAGTCTAGCACTGCATGGCAGTGCTAAACCCTAAATGTAACCAAATATTTTAGGATTTTTTTAATTTACAAAAATACCAAAGATTTTTTTAGGATTGCAAACGGATTTTTAGGCCGTTGCGCTAATTAGCTCCTGGCTTTTTTTTGGTTTCCAATTCAAGGGGGAATTATCAGCTAACTCTATTCCTTAAATTCGATTTTTTTGTGTAGGTATAACTGCTTTCTTTCCTTTCTTCTTGTTTGCTTCTACTCCTGGACGACTTGTTTTTCACCTTCTGTGTATTTTGCTTTTTTTTCTTTTCAACTTGTTTTTCTTTCAGTAGTTTCTTTTCTTTGTGTTTAATTGTTGTTGCATGGAATAATTAATTGCGTCTCAGTTCTTGCCTCCGGCCGTTACGGCTTTCTTATTATTGTTAGTGTTCATAAATTTGGTTAACAGTTTTCTGGAATGTCCACTGGGATCAAAATGATTGGTATTTTCATGGGCCTCACGTTTGGTACGATTTTTACCGCTGTGACCAGAGAACACATATTTGTCCTGATCATAGTTGTAGTGTTCGTATTCATCAAAGTAAGCCTCAGACATGTTGGCGTTGACGATGTGGAACTTCCCTTCAAGCGACAAAAAAAAGTTTTTTTTTTTTAAATTTCACTTGGATGTGTGTTTTCTGGTTCCTTTAAAATCGCTTGCTTTGATATTCAGTAGTTGTGTTTGTTTTCCAAATGCACTCTTTCAAAGAAAGAAAAAACGAACGGTTTTCTTTGTTGTTGTTTGTTTGTTTGTTAAACGATGGAGACTTCCGTTAAGTCTATGCAGCACAGTGATTTACTCACAATTAAACTTGCCTCAGCATTGCCGGGCCTTTTATATATGTCTCCCCCATGGCGCTCAAAACATTTGGGGAGAGCATGTAAACAAATGAGAGACAGAGACAAATTTCTCTCGATTTTAAAAATACCCATTTCATATCTCTGTTTTCTTTTTTAAACCTCTCTCACCCGGTCTCCCACCATTCAATGTTTTGTTCAATTATCTTTGTTTGTTTTTTTTTCGTCGTTGTTGTTTTTGTTTCTGTCTTAACACTCAGAAGATAACCTCACTTATTGGTTTGTGTGGTGGTCGTCAAAACATCTGATTGATTTTTGACAATTTTACGATAACCTATTTGTTGTTACAGATATTGCGTTCTAGAATGGAATTCTACAAAAACAAGAATGCACATATGAAGTAGCACAAGATGTCTGGGGGTACAGTCATATAACTTTAAATTTTTGACTGATTCATTAGATAAATTCCCCATTTGAAGTGACAATTCATTGCATTTCCTTAAAAAAAAATTATTGATGAAATTTAACACAAATTTGGGGTAATGATAAAAATAGAACTATAGTCATCATTGGATAATTTCTGATAAGCATAAAATTTCAAAACCTAGTTCGAATGCAGAAAGCTTTATATCCAGGCCGATGTTATTAAGCATTGGAACTGATAAAATGTGAAATCGAATGGAAACTAAAATCTTTACAAATTTTAATTTTATAGAGTTATTTTTAGACTGTACACGAAGTCTGGTTATTGTGCACTAAATGGCCAATATCAGTCCAAACTACCTGTATTTTGGCACATCCTACTGAATTAAGTCTAGAAACAATTAAATCAAATTTAGAGAAAATCGGTTCAAATATGGCTATAGCTCCTATATATATGTTTCATCCGATTTGAGGTTTTAATGATATTTGGTACCATATATAAGATACAACCCAGAAAAACCTCTGCCAAATTTTATCAAGATCGGTTTAGATTTCATATAAATATCTTCAACCAACTTCGGGTTAATTGTATACCAAAAGACCAATATCGGTCCAAAAGACCTAACATCCAACCGAATTCAGTCTAGAAACAAGTACATCGAATTCGGAGAAAACTGGTTCAGATATAGTTATAGCTCCCATATATAGGTTCCATCCGATTTGGTATTTTAGTCCCCCACATTCTTAATGTCCATACCAATGATGTTTAGTATTAGATATCAGATACAGCTCGGAAATACCTCTGCCAAATTGTATCAAGATCGATTCAGTGTTGGATATAGGTCCCATATATATCTTCAACCGATTTCGGGTTAAGTGTGCACCAAATGGCCAATATAAGTCCAAATGACCTAAATTTTGGCACATCCACCCGAACTCAGTCTAGAAGCAAGTACATCAATAACCGAAGTTATGGAAACGGGTTCTACCTCCTGTGCCAGATCATTGCCTATATAGTTTCATATTTTGCTATAGCCCTCCAGAATTCCCTGTATTTGGTATGAGATGATTTTAGCAATATTTTTCAGAGAAATCTTTTAAAATTCGGTGTGAAGAGTTTGTAGTGGGTTCTGTCTTCTGTGACAGTTGAACACGTCCTATTTTACTGCCCTGCTGTTAAAAATAGGGACTTAGAAACACCTATAACTGCATAAGCTCTCTAACAACAAGAGCAACAGACATAATTGACATAGGTTGTAGTACCAATTAAGATCTTCCAATACGAAATTTAAAACGATTCGGTGAATAATGTTGTTGAAATTATCAAAATACCGAATATCGAAAGGTACCGTTATTTGAGGGCCACACGAAGACTTGGACCTGCATACAAAAATTTTTGTCATAGGCTTTAGTACCCATTACGAACTTCAAATATGAAATTTTAAATAATTCCGGTGAATAATGTCGCTAAAATCGTCAAAACACCGAATATCGGGAGGTACCGTTATTTGAGGGCCATACGAAGACCTGAACCTGCATACGAAAATTTTTGCCATAGGTTGTAATACCCATTAAGATCTTTCAAAACGAAATTTGAAACGCTTCAGGTGAATAATGTTGCTGAAATCATTAAAATACCGAATATCGGGTGGGCTATACGAAAACGTGTACCGACCTGTCCCATTTAGGAACGTAAGCTGCCCACTGAGAAAATATGCATGTATGCAAAATGTTAGCCTTCCATCTCAATTCCTTCGAAAGATAGCATGATTACAATAGACAGACACTCAAACAGACGGACATCGCTAAATCGACTTAGAATTTTACGTTGATCAAGAATATATATACTCTTTTGAGTCTGACATGAGTATTACGAGGAGTTACAAACGGAATGATAAAGCTAATATACCCTCCATAGAATGGTGGAGGGTATAAACATGATTTCGTTTGGCGCCCAATTTCGTTTATTTTTGCGTATTCCAAAACGTCCCCTTGAGCTTCTGTAGTGTTAAATTCTATAATGCATTCTTGTTTAAAAAATTAATGCGCAATTTCTGATTTTGTTTCTTCCTCAAAATCCTATTGTGGCCATGCTTCACCCTTAACGTTTCTCTCCCGCTTTCTTTTGATTTTCGACTTTTTTCGCTGAACACAACATTTGCAAACAAACAAGGTATGCTTGCCTGCCTATACTCACGTACAGAATACAGTAAAAGGTTGAATAAAAGTATACGATGAATATGTATGTTTGAAATAATTAAAATTTAGCAAATTTTAAAGCCTCTATCATAGCATGTAGGGTATATCGAGTTTCGTCATACCGTTTGTAACTCTGGGAAACCTCGCAAAACTTTTCACATGTATAAAGCAAACAATGGTTAAAAATTGTAGTCCTGGGGCTGAATTCTTGTTCTATGAACACATTTTTTCACATTTTTTCCGAATTTTTAAATAAGGTTTTGATTTTTTTCAAATTTTTTCCGAATTTTTAAAAAAGGTAGTGATTTTTTCACATTTTTTCCGAATTTTTAAAAAAATATATGCTGGTGTGAGTCTTATAAAAACGGCATATAATTCAATTGATTGTAACAACAACATGAGGCTTCAATATAGTGGTGCCCAGTGTGACCGCTGGAAATTTTCAAAAAGTGTCACAAAAAGTATCATTTCTTGAAAAAAGTGGCACATATCATTTTAAATGGTGGCACAGAAAGTGGCACAATTTATTTCACATTTCATTTAAAAAATAACAGTTTAGAACAAAACAACAAATTCATCTATATGTAATACTATATAGTAATAATATATGTATGTACATATTGCATATTTAACCAGTAAATAAAGCCTTGAAGTCGGACGGGGCCGACTTTATGATACCCTACACCACTTTGCTAATTTAGTAGAGCTCCGCATAACAATTAAAAGTTTTTATGGGAGAACTAAATCATACACGCTATGATTATAATTATAATTTAAAGTTCAAAGGACTAAATATGCCGAAGCATTTGTATCTTTTAAATTCGGACTTGTATTGCCCATTTGGTGCACAATTAGTTTGAAATCGGATAAAGATATATATGGCAGCTATATCCAAATCGGAACCGATCTCGATAAAATTTGGCAAAAGTTATTTCTGAGCTGTATTTGATATATTTCCCTGAATATGGTTGTTACGGAGTGCATATTACGGTTGTGGGTAACAAATATGACAAATATATATATGGGAGCTATAGCTATATATGAACCGATCTACACCAAATTTGACATACTAGCTTCTAGACTCAATTCGGTCGTAAGTGCCAAATTTTATCCAATTTGGGCAAATATTAGACGTTTGGTGAACAATCAGAGGTAAATCGGACGAAGTTATATATGGGAGCTATATCCAAACCTGAACTTCGTCCTTGGGCCAAACAAATGATTTGTACAAAATTTCATCTGGATAGGGCAATAAATGCGAACTGTACTTTGTTTACAAAAAATACATGAACAGACAGACGGACGGACGGACATGCACAAATCGAATCAGAATGTGATTCTATGCAGATCATCAAAAGGGACTATGGGTCTATCACGTTTCCTTGTGACCACCTTGTGGTGTAGGGTATAACAAGTAAAAAAGCTGTAAGTTCGGCCGGGCCGAACTTTGAATACCCTCCACCATATGGTACAAATTTGGCAATTTTCAAAAAACTAAAATCCATTAAAAATTCTGTGAAAATCTTAAAAATACCGAATGTAGCCGGATATTAGGGTCTTTACGACGACGTGGATCTGCATACGCAACTTTTGTCATAAGCCTGCACAGACAATTTTCTGGCACAGGATGTAGTATCCATTACGAACATCAAATACAAAATTTGAAATAATTCCGGTAAAAATTGCATCTAAAATCAACAAAATACTGAATATCGGGGTACCGTAATATGTGGGCTATACGAAGACGTGGACCTGAACGAACAATTTTCTATCACAGGCTGTAATATCCATTACGAACTTCAAATGCGAAAATTGAAACAATTCCGGTAAATAATGTCGCTAGAATCACCAAAATACCGAATATCAGGGGGTACCGTTATATGGGGGCTATACGAGGACCTGCACAGACAATTTTCTGTCATAGGCTGTAGTAAAGTAATTAAAAATGTCTCTTAATGTTGTTCCAGAAATAAACCAACAGAACCATGTTGACAACTTTGAGCATGCGAAAACCACTTACAAACACCTAATATAAGAGCGTTCGCTCTGAAATTTGCTATCGCAAATTGGAAATGGCAGCGTACGACGCTTTTCATTGTTTCATTTCATTTTATTGTTTTAAATACAGCATTTAGATTAAAATATACGTAGTTTAAAAAAAGGTGGCACAATGTATAAAAAAGTGGCACAAAAATTCAAAAAAGTGGCTCATTTAGGATCAAAATAAAAAAGTGGCACAAAGGTATCAAAGCCCAAAAAAGGTGGCAAAATTGATACTTTAGTGGCACAACGGTCACGCTGGTGGTGCCATAAACAACCGGATTGGCATCTTTTGTTTGCTGAAAGAAACAAAAAAAAACAATAAATTGTTTACATACAAACATCAATTTACAAAATCTCTTTTGAAAACAACACTACTCTCCGTATGTGCGGCGCACAAGAAATTCATTTCTCTCCTCTGCTAATGAGAATTTCTTATGTATTTATCTCTCTCTCTCTCTATTTACAAATTTACATGCTCTTTACTCTCATAAAGCGGTTTTATTTCGTTTTTTTTTTGGTTTATTTACGTTGTTAGTTTTTGTTTTTCTTTTTTCGACAAATTTCTAGCCATAGAAATTTGTAGAATATTGTCCTCTTTCTTCATCTAATGTTGACCCACATGAAGAATACATATACATACATACATAGAACATTACCTTGCATGTGGTATAGTTGTTGTTTTTAGTTTGGGTCTTTGTTTATAGATTCTTATTTTTTTATTTTATTATTATGAAATACCTTGTTAATTATTTCATAATATTTGGCCCAAATGGCGCACTGTTTTTTTCGGGGGAAAATTAGATAAGAGAGAGAAAAAAGTGGTTTCCTAAAAATCACTTTTTGCAAATGAGTCATTTTATTTTTTTTGCGCTTTGTTTCGTTATTTTCATCTACATACCTGGGCCAACCGGTTGATTTTTGTTTAGATGCGAAAATGGAAACAAAACAAAAATAGGAAATGGCACGATGGCCGATGTGTTCAAGTCGAACGGGTTGTACCCTTTTCGGCCAATGTTATTTGTAGCAGTGGCCGGGTGGTTGACAGAATCACATGTCAGGCATGTCTATGGAATATTCCACTGGACCAGGAGGTGGGGTAAGTGAAAATAATATTGAATGTAAATATTACAACATTTTGCTTTGTTGTTTTGTAATCTTTTTTTGTTAATGTATTTCAGGTTCACAATTTACTGATAACTGTAACGGAATGAGAAACATTTTATAACTCTACTTCCAGTTAAGAACAATTTTAATTGGCGATACGTTAGTCAACTTTTGGTCTTGAAAAGTCTATGTTGACACTCTGTCAGTGGCAAGAATCACAAGGTGAGCTTTTAGTAAAGCGAGATCTAAGGTTTATGGCAGAAAAATAAGGTGGGTTTTGACGACAGATGTACAGGGTGAGATAAAAAAACTGCAACAAAGTCAAACTCCATAATTTTTACATTTTTTTAAATTTTATTGAATGAAATCAAAAAATGTCAGAAAATCATCAAATATTAATATAAGTTTAGATTTGTTCAAATTGATCACCTTTGGCACGAATTATGCCCTTCAAACGGCAAATGAAACCGTCACACGCTGCCCGAATGTTGCTCTGCTGTATTTTGGCCCATTCCCGGCGAGGCGCTTGCTTGAGGTGATCGACACTTTGGTATTTTTTAGTGCCAACCTTGCTTTCCAAAATACTCCAGACACAATAGTCCAACGGATTGGAATCCGGAGATTTTGGTGGCCATTGTGCGTTTGAAATGAAGCGAGGAACCTCATTTGTGGGGGAGGTACCAGAAGTAGTTGCCCAATATATCCCATATTCACAGCACATTGTGTGAGAGAATCTGATGCTTATTTCGGATGTTATTATCGTTTTGGTTATTCAAAACTTTGACCCTTTGTGGGGGAGGTACCAGAAGGAATGGTCTGATCTCTACCGTCTTTATAACAGATTTTGTGTTGATAGAAATATTGAGATGTACCAAGTCTAAATGAAATCGGATGTTCATTTCTCGATTTATGAACTTCATGGATATTCAAAATTTTGACCCTTGTGGGAGGAGGTACCAGAAGAAGTCGTCCGATATAATCCATCTTCACATAAGACTTTGGGTCAATAAAAATATTGTGATGTGTGTAATTTGAACATTTTATAAGAGTTATAATTGTTAAAAATGTTGACCCTTTGTGGGGGAGGGGAGGTACTTGATGAAGTGTAGAGATATTGTCCATTTTCGCACCTGACCTAGCACTGATGCAAATATTAGGATTTGGAGAGTTGGAGCAAAATCGGATTATATTTTCCCTTTCTGTGCTGTAAAATATTTCTTTTTTCAAAATTTCGACCTTTTGTGCCGATCTCCGTACTCAATCTAAGTTTGATAATAATATTACTATTTAGTTTGAACCAAATCGGATACTCCTTTCGAGAGTTATCGGGGGCACCAGCCAGACAGACGGACAGACATCGCTAGATCGATTCCAAATGCCCTGAACCTAGGGTCCAAAGCCGTTATCTCGATAAGGCACGTTTTTCGTCGTATCAAATGATATATACCCTCTCTAGCCATATGGCTGAGGGTATAATAAGGGGTTCACCAATCAGACTAAATTTCAGAATTAGTTTTCGTTTTGTTTACTGGTTGCCATAGTCGAAGTATACAAGTAGATGCATCAACGGGTGGGAACATTGATATGTCAACATTTTTAAATGTTTTGTCAAATATAAGTAAATGTTTATGTTTTCTTTTGCGAACCAAATCGGAAGTTGTTATGATATGCATTTTTCAACAATTTTTACAAATTTCAATATTTTTTCATACATTTTCAATTCCAAAATCGGTTGGACAATCTATTGTCCATTGGAGCAGTGTCAATGTGACCTTCCTGTATCCTACCATGTTTCCTGGTCATGTACAAAAAAACCCGCAATATTTTTTTTAAGGCTTCCACAATTTAACTTAGACTTAAATTTAGACGAATAAATTACCCATTCCTCCTATTAAATATACGATACTTCTCCAAACTATTATAGCAACATAATTAAATTATATTCATCAAAACACAATACTTTTTCTCCGCAGCAAAACTTTTGCATTTTTAAATCACTTTTCAGCGGGTTAACGATGGCAAATCGACGAGAAGACCACAATCTTCATGTGTATGTAGGTATGTATGTTTGTATTTATGAAGAGTGTTATAATGTATTGACATGTTTGCAAAATGCTGATAACGTTCACAATTCGCAATTGTGGAGTCGCACAACAATCAACCGCACACATTCGAACGTTTAACATTCATGCGGCATAAGGTAGTTGACCTATTGTTTTACTGTTGTTGTTGCTGTTTTTTTTTTTGCAAAACACTTGTAGAAACGAAAACAACATAGGTACGTCTCTAGAAAATATGAGAAAGGTGTTCGTTCAGCTTGTGCTAAGCGAAGGTGACGCATGAGCTAGGTTGAAGATGTCAAGCGAGGGAAGTGGTGGCTTGAATTTACTTTTGCAAAACAACATTTTTATATCAGAAATGGGTTTTAAGAAAGCAACAATTACTGAGGAGGATTACAGTTTAAATGAATTATTAAAATGCAGGATTATAACCTAAAACATAATCAACATTTGAGCCGTTGTTACATAGTTTTTCTTTAAAAATAACCATTTCACCGTTGTTTTTTTAACTCATAACATAAAACGGAAACTCTTTTTTTGCTAATTTGAGCAATAAAGAGAGGCTTTCACTTGTCACATTTTGCCATTTCCATTGAATTCTTCTTTTTACATGTCAATCAAATTGAAAGTAACGGTCAAAGTCAATTGGTAACTAATGCAGCAACTGTGAATGACCAAACAAAGAAACCAAACAGCTGAGTATAAAACAATCATTCACAATAGATATCAACATGGCTATGTTACCAGATCGATTTATTTTAATAAGACCCAGTAAAATTGTCGGTTATTGCGTTGCCCTGTGGTTGAAAATATAAAAGAATGTTTAGCACATATAAAGGATTTTGTTTGCCTTGAACGCAATTTCTTGTATTTGTTTTTCTATTCTAATTCTGCTTGGTTTTCCCCAACATACCAAACATATATTAGACGACAATTCGGTCGTGAACAATATAATAAAAATGGTGTTTCAAAATTTTAAAACAATGGTTGAGAAACATTTATGTAAAAAGCAATCACGCGATTTAAAGACGGAATTCTTAAGGTAATGATGAGTAATAAATCTGGGAATCTGGTATCTGGTGGTATATATTTATTATTTCAATCTCATTTCAGACGGGAGCCATCAAAATATTTGCAGGAATTCAAAAGAAGTTTAAATTAGTGGAAAAGATGCCGAGAAGGCTTATATTGAAAAAAAATACATATAGGAGCCGAATTCCACAAAATAGAAATTTACGTCCCGAAATTTTGCACAACAAATCTGAAATCGGATTAAGAATACATATGGGAGCTATATCCAAATCTTAGCCTATCTCGATAAAATTTGGCAGAGATATTTCCGAGCTCTATAAGATATCTGGATATCGAATGTATATTACGAATGTGAGGAACTTAAACACCAAATCGGATGAAACATGTATATGGGAGCTATGGCTATATTTGAACCGATTTTCATCAACTTTAAATTACTTGCTTCCGGACTGAATTGGGTGTGCCAAATTCAGGCCATTTGGTCGTATATTGGCTATTTGGTGCTCAATTAATCCGAAATCGGTCGAGGATATATGAGGGAGCCATATCCAAATCTGAACCGATCTTGACAAGATTTGATACACTTATTTCAGAGCTATATTTGATATTTGGTACCAAAGATAATTGTTGTGGAGTACATTTTATGCATTTGAGGGACTTAAAACTCCAAATCGGATGAGCTATAGCTATATCGGAACCGATTTTCACCAAATTTAAAGTACATGTTTTTAGGATGAATTAAGCAATAATTGCCAAAATTCAGGCCATTTGGTCGGATATTGGCCACTTGGTGCACAATTAACCCGAAATCGGTTGAAGATGTATATGGAAGCTATATCCAAATCTGAGGCGATCTTGATACAAATTAACAGAGGTATTTTTGAGTTCCATAGGTTATCTGGTACCAAATATTCTTGTGGAGTGCCTATTACGCAAGTGAAGGACTTAAAACCCCAAATCGGATGAAACATAGATATGGGAGCTACAACTATATCTAAACCGATTTTCTATAAATTTGATGTACTTACTTCTAGACTGAATTCGGTCGCATGTGCCCAAATGCAGAACATTTGGATTGATATTGGCCATTTGGTGCACAATTAACCCGAAATCGGTTGAATATATATATGGGAGCTATATTTAAATTTGAACCAATTCTCACCAATTTCAATAGGGTTAGTCCTTGGGCCAAACAAATATTGTTTGGAAAATTTCATCATAATCGGATAAAAAATGCCACCTGCATTTTGTTTCCAACAATACATGGAAGGACAGACATGCATAAATCGACTCAGATTTACAACAAAGATCCATCGTGCTCGACATCCAGACACAGATGGACGGACGGATGGACATCGCTAGATCGACATCAAATGTCCTGAAACGGATTTGGTCCAAAGAGGCCTAGGGTCTAAAATCGTTATTAGGATGAGACACATTTTGGCCGTATCAAATGATATATATCCTCTCTACCCATATGGCTAAGGCTATAATAAGAAAATATTTTTCATTTCATGTTTTCATAGAACATGACCTACATATTGTCGGCCAAAGAGGGTCACATAACAATAGATGTAAAAACTACTAAGTTATTATCAAAAGTAGCCTTCTTGGCAGACATCATGTCTTCTTCTCAGAGAAGGCCTTGGTATAGAAGAAGAATCCAGCCCCTGGTATTTTCTTCGAAAACTGTTAAGGTTTGTCAAATGTATTTGATATTGTCATCTAAACAAAACTTTTTTAAACACATCCAATGGCATTACAAATTCAGAAATCGGGCCCACACATCCAATATTCTCGAAAATCCTCCTTTTGTCAGGAAGCCCCAAAGCTCTCATCTTGGTTTTTCTTGTCATTTTTTTATATTCTCTTTTATATCCCTCTCCATGTCATGTTTAACGAAATCAGCTGATTTTGTTTGAGTGAATTACATTCCTTCTTCTTTCACTTATTTTTAAGCCGTAACCGATTTAGAAGCGCATGCCACAAAGGTTTGTAAACAGACGTAACCGGCCCTCAATTAACAGTTCTAAAGGTCCACCTGTCTATCTATTAAGCTTTTACGATTTATGTACCCTTAAAGAACAATTAATTTTATTTATTTTTTACTCTTTTTAATTCAAAATACAATTTTTCTTCGATTCCAATCCATGGCGGTCTCAACAATTGTTGTGCCCCGATAAAAATCCACAGCTACAATATTGGCATTGGCACCCAAGTCATTGGCATACAGCTGGGAGACACGCCAATTAACTTTGTCTGCCATTTTCCGCAGACCACCAAATTTATTGACAATTACATCCCAGGCTTTGGGTGTCAGTTCAGCCATATCGGCCAGAGGGCGACTTGAGAGGCGTCTAAAAACAAAGAGAACGATTATTTTTTATTCCTCTGATTTTCGAAAACTTTTGATTTACTTACGAAACATCACTGTCATTGATGGACCTTAGGAAAGCCTCTAAATCCGACCACTTTTGAACATTACCCCATCGCTGTTCGACAGAGCCAAACAGGAGATGTGGATATCTTTGTACCATTTCAGGTTTATCATAGGCCAGTATGACATTTTGTCTTCGTGACCAGATGTCATTTAATGTCGCCCGCCATGTTGCCGACGGATGTACAACCAATTCGCCAAAGTGTTCCTTAAGGAATTCAGCCAATTTGTGATGAATTGTTAGATTTTTACCGAATCCTGAAATGAAAAAAAAAATAAAATTTATTTTAAATGAGGAATTCAGATGTAGATTAGCTAGGATAACTCCGCAAGATCTTAAGAACTAATGTAAAGAAGTAAGCAAATATGAAATAAAAGAAATTTCCAAATAGAAAGCAGAATAGGTCTTCTCTCACAGAGAAGCCCGTATAGGTCTTCTCTCACAGAGAAGGCCGTATAGGTCTTCTCTCACAGAGAAGGCCGTATAGGTCTTCTCTCACAGAGAAGGCTGTAGAGGTCTTCTCACACTGTGAAGGCCGTATAGGTCTTCTCACACTGAGAAGGCCGTATAGGTCTTCTCACACTGAGAAGGCCGTATAGGTCTTCTCACACTGAGAAGGCCGTATAGGTCTTCTCACATTGAGAAGGCCGTAGAGGACTTATCGCACAGAGAAGGCCGAAGAGGACTTCTCACACAGAGAAGGCCGTCGAGGACTTCTCGCACAGAGAAGGCCGTAGAGGATTTTTTCTGACAGAGAAGGCAGTATAGGACTTCTTCTCACAGAGAAGGTCGCATAGGAGAAGATTTTCAGCTCTTATATGGAGAAGACTTTCAGCTCCTCTGGGAGAAAACCTTCAGCTTTTCTGAAAGAAGGCCATACGGCCTTCTCTGAGAATGCCGTATAGGACTTTTCAGAGAAAAGAAAGGCCGTAAAACCTCCCACAGACGAAGTTTTCTTGGAAAGGTATCTTCCTAAAGCCCATTTAATGGGTCCACTTTTTTTTGTCATAAAAGACCCTTCTCATATCCGAATACCTACCCACTGGAAACTCCTTTAAACCGAATATAACAATTTCATTTGTCTCCTCCACAAAATCCTTGACTTGATCAATAATCTCCACCAAAGGTCTCTGCCGTGTAATGCCATGATTTATGAAAAACAATTCCGGCGTATTGCGATGATATCCCACCCGGATGTCCAAATAGCGGATGCCATGCATTAGCTGGCCTCGCACATCATCATCCTGACACAGGGAATATTTGGTGACCAGCGTTTCGTGATGTAAAGGATCAAAATTAATGCGATATGAACCGGAATCATGGGAACCAGGTATGAAAAGGTCACGCATGCGCAGCGATCCAATTTGCGATCGCATTTCATTCATCCAGCGAGGAAAGGCACGCAAACAGGTGGTGGCCAGAATCGATCCATCGCCGTTTACATAGGCGGCCCAGTAACCATAACAACTCGTCTGACTGGTCACATTTTTCGAGAGATCATAGTCGAAGGGTACTCCGGTGGTGAACCATAGGGAATTTGCTGTGGGTTTGAGGGCGGCCACAATGTGATTGCTGCCATTGTTGGAAATCCAATAGTGTATGTCTTTGGCATTGTAGGGTGACCCTTTGGAGGGGGCTGTGGTGGAGGTGGGTTCCACTCCCGCACCACTGCCATCCTCTTGTATTGATAAATCATCAGAATCTACCCCCACTCCCTGCTCATCCTTGCTGAACTCTGCCATTGGGGTCCGTTCAGTGGGTATATATTTCAGTTTCTCAAAATGATAGGGCTCCCCTGAGGTTAGCATAATACGATCATCTTCCAGGGCTGGAGCATTTACCCACGATATCTCCAGGAAACGTTTTTGGGCACTTATCGTCAGCCACAGCCGTAATTTGGAGAGATTGTCATCGGGTCGGGAGGCTCCCAAATCCCAGAATTCATTGTCATTGGCAGACATTGTGGGCACGATGTGTTGACAAATCAAGACCACCAGGGTGATAATTCCAAGCACATGTTGTTGTTGTTGCTGGTGTCTGTAGAAATTGTGCAGCATTTTAAATAATCTCCTTGCTTTGTGTCTCTTGAGATATGAATGAATGAACGAACGAAACTGGGTGTAATGTGTGAATGGAAGTGGATGCCGAGGCCTCAAGTAGTGCTTGCTTTTCTCTCAATGAAATGGGTCTTTGCTCTTGACTTAATTCAATTTAGTTCTTGTCGCAGTTGTTTTTGTTTTTTGCACTTTTCAAAATTGGATTATGGACGATTATCGCAATCTTCAATAAAATCTCATGTTCATGAACATCTTATGCCGCCGGCAGGTCTTCTTTTTTTTTGGGAAAAATTCGACGCCTGCTTTGTTTCTTCACTAAATATGATGGTCGCACACAAGTTCAAGCGGAGACTGATTGACTGACTGACTGTTTGACTGGCTGGCTAGCTTACAAGCTGCTATTCCGATCCGTTTCAATCTTAAATTGTTTTTAATTTAGAATGACACCCCGTACTGAAACCATTCTATTCAGACGAGCCTCTATTTATATACTCCAAAAACAACAACAAAAGCAATAGTAGCCGGACATTTCTTTTTATCAATGACGACGACGACAGCTATCTGAGAAATTTAGTAACTGTCCATTTATGGATTGGAAAAAATGTTGTAAACAAACTTACTTTGTTTAAAAATTTGGCCATTGTTCGTTTGAAGTGCAACGTAGATTTTTGAGTGTTCCTTCATTTGCTTCCTACTCGAGCAAATGTCACAAGGAAGAGAAACAAATTTTAAGTCATTTAATCGGACATAACAACAATTTAGTGCAACTATAGACATCTATAGGGCAAAGATTGTGATGGGGAGGAGACAAAATTTTGGCATTTTACTATGTGTTTAATTGGGCGCCATTCACTTGCAGAAATTGATAAGTAATTTCTAAGAGAAATCCTAACTTGCGATTTTAACAATTGGGCGCCATTAAAATCGATGCGCCTACCATGAGACTGATGGAAAATCTCGTGTTTCCTTAATTTTTACCATTTTTGCAATTGGGCGCCATGTAAAATTTTTGGCATTACTATGTGTTTAATTGGGCGCCATCTATTTGCAGAGAGAAATCTTATTTTGCGATTTTTACAATTGGGCGCCATTAAAAGCGATACAAATGCTATGGAACCGAGGAAAATCATCAACACTGCCTAGTTCCTTATTTTTTAGCATTTTTGCAATTGGGCGCCATGTAAAAATTTTGCCATTTTACTAATTGGGCGTCATCTATTTGCAGAAATCGATAAATAATTTCTGGGAGAAACCCTATTTTGTGATGTATTCGAGGAAAAGCATAAAAATTGCCTTGTTCCTTATTTTTTTACTATTTTTGCGATTGGGAGCCATGTAAAATTGTTGGTATTTTACTATGTTTTTAATTGGACGCCATCCATTTGCCGAAATTGATTAATAATTTCTGAGAAATCCTATTCTGCAATTTTGAATTGAGCGCCATTAAAATTGATACGCATACTATGGAACCGAGGAAAAGCATCAACCTGCTTAGTTCCTTGTTTTTTTAGCATTTTTTCACTTGGGCGCCGTGTACAAATGTTGGCATTTTACTAATTGGCCGCCATCTATTTGTAAAAATTGATAAATAATTTCTAAAAGAAATCCTATTTTGTGATTTTAACAATTGTGTGCCATTAAAATCGATACGCTGACTACCATACCGAGGAGGAGCATTGTTCCTTTACTTTAACCATTTATGCAATTGGGCGCCATGCACATTTTTGTATGCATTTTGCTGTGTGTTTAATTGGGCGCCATCTACTTGCAGAAATTGATAAATGATTTCTAAGAAAAAATTCTATTCTGCATACTATGGAACCGAGGAAAAGCATAAACCTTTCCTTGTTCCTTATTTTTTACAATTTTTTCACTTGGGCGCCATGTACAATTTTTGGCATTTTACTATTGGGCGCCATCTATTTGCCGAAAATGGTAAATATTTTCTGAGAGAAATCCTATTTTGTAATGCATGTGAGGAAAAGCATAAAAATTGCCTTGTTCCTTATTTTTTTTACAATTTTTGCAATTGGGCGCCATGTAAAAAAAAAAGTATCAACATTGCCTAGTTCCTTATTTTTTAGCATTTTGGCATTTTACTAATTGGGCGCCATCTATTTCAGAAATTTATAAATAATTTCTGAGAGAAATATTATTGTTCGATTTTAACAATTGGAGGCCATTAAAATTGATATGCGTACTATGATACCGAGGAAAAACACATTCTTCCTCATTTTTTTTTACATTTTTGTAAAATGTATTTTTTTTTGGCATTTTACTATGTGTTTAATTGGGCGCCATCTATTTGCAGATATTGATAAATTATTTCTGAGATCCTAATTTGCGATTTTGACAATTGGGCGCCATTAAAATCCATGCGCATACTAGAGATCGAGGAAGAGCCTTGTTCATTAACTTTAACATTTTACTAATTGGGCGCTATCTATTTGCAGAAATTGATAAATAATTTTTAAAAGAAATCCTATTCTGTGATTTTAACAATTGGGTGCCATTAAAATCGATACGCTGACTACCATACCGAGGTGGAGCATTGTTCCTTTACTTTAACCATTCATACAATTGGGCGTCATGCTCATTTTTTTGCATTTTATTGTGTGTTTAATTTGGCCCCATCTATTTGCCGAAATTGATAAATCATTTCTGAATGAAATCCTATTTTGTGATTTTAACAAATGGGCGCCTTTAATCGCTACGCATACTACGGAACCGAGGAAACGCATAAACATTGCCTAGTTCCTTATTTTTTTTAGCATTTTTGCAACTGGGCGCCATGTAAAAATTTTGGTATTTTACTAATTGAGGTCCATCTGTTTGCCGAAATTAGTAAATAATTTCTGAGGGAAATTCTATTTTGTTATTTTGAACAATTGGGTGCCATTAAAATTGATACACATACTATGGAACCGAGGAAAAACATAAACATTTCCTTGTTCCTTATTTTTTACAATTTTTTCACTTGGGCGCCATGTACAATTTTTGGCATTTTACTATTGGGCGCCATCTATTTGCCGAAATTAGTAAATATTTTCTGAGAGAAATCCTATTTTGTGATGCATGCGAGGAAAAGCGAAAAACATTGCCTTGTTCCTTATTTTTTTGCCATTTTTGTAATTGTGCGCCATGTAAAATTGTTGGCATTTTACTATGTTCCTAATTGGGCGCCATTGGAAATATATCATTTGATTCGGCCAAACGTGCCTCATCGAAATGACGGTTTTAGACCCTAGGTCTCTTTGGACCAAATTCGTTTCAGGACATTTGGAGTCGATCTAGCGATGTCCGTCGAAGAACGTCTGTCTAGCTGGTGCGCATGATAACTCTCGAAGGGAGTATCTGATTTGATCCAAACTTGGTACATCGTAATATTATTATTAACTTAGACCGAGTTCGGAGATGGGCAATATCGGTCCACTCCTTCTGGTACCTCCCACACAAAATGTCGAAATTCTCAAAAAAAATATTTTATTGCACAGAAAGAGAAAGAATAATTCAATTTTTCCCTAACTTTGCAAATTCCAATATTTCCATCAGTGCGAAAATGGACAGTATCGGTCCACTCCATCAAGTACCTCCCCACAAAGGTTTAAAATTCTAAATAATTATAACTCTTTTAAAATGTGAAATAAGAGTCCAATTGTCTTCAAATTTCACACATCACAATATTTTCATTAACTCAAGATCTGGTGTGAATATTCAGTATATCGGTCCACTCCTTCTGGTACCTCCCCCGCAATAGGTCGAAATTTTGAATATCCATGAAGCTCATAAAACACTAAATAAACTTCCGATTCCATTTAGACTTGGTACATCTGAATATTTTTATCAACACAGAATCTGAGATCGGATCATTCCTTCTGGTACCTCCCCCTCAAAGGGTCAAAGTTTTGAATAACCAAACAATCTTAAAATCCGAAATAAGGATCCGGTTCTCTTTAAATTACAAACTTCACAATATTTTTCTCAACCCAAGGTCTCCAGTAAAATGGGATATATCGGTCTATTCCTTCTGATACCTCCCCACAAATGGTCAAAATTTTGAATATTCATGAAGCCCATACGAAATTAACATACGAAATTAACATCTCGATATTTTCATTAACACAAGATATATTATAAGGATGGCAGAGATCGGACCATTCCTTCTGGTAGCTCCCCCACAAAGGGTCAAAGTTTTGAATAACAAAAACGAAAATAAAATCCGAAATGAGCATCAGATTCTCTTTACATTTCACACATCCCATTACTTCTGCTAACTCAAGATATACTATGAAAATGGAATATATCGGTCCACTCTTTCTGGTACCTTCCTCACAAATCCTCAAAATTTTGAATATCCATGAAGCTTATAAAACGCGGAATTAACATCCGTTTCCATTCAGACTTGTTACATCTCAATATTTCCATCAACACAAAATATGTTATAAAGATGGTAGAGATCGGACCACTTCTTCTGGTATCTCCCCCACATAGGTTTCAAGCTTTTGAAAAACAAAACGCTCAAAGAAAGCGAAATAAGCTCCAACTCTCTCTTTAAATACACACTTTTTTTCTAACGCAAAATATTTTGTGAAGATGATATATATCTGCCGACCTCCTCTGGTACCTGGCTAAATATTTCCCTTAACCAGAAATCTGATATGAATATGTAAATTATCGAAATTTATGATTTCGCATTTCGATTTCCTTCAAATTTTGCCCATACAAATATTTTTATCTGTATTAGATGAAATATGAAAATGGAATACTTCGGCACGCTATATCTGTTACCTCAGGCATATTTCCACATTTTCCAAAAATTTCCACATATAAAGTATAGGAAGTAGTCGATATAGCCCAAATCTGGCACGTTTTAATATTTATATCAGTCTTAGCTCAGATACGAATTGGTTAATATTGGCCAACTTCAGAACTTCTTAACCTTACCTAAAAAGGTCAACAGTTTAAATAATCATGACTCAAAGCTGGGGGTATACGTATTTCGCAAAACCGACTGATACTATTTTACTTGTTATACCCTCCACCATGGGTAGGAGGGTATATTAACTTTGTCATTCCGTTTGTAACACCTCTAAATATTCGTCGTAGACCCCATAAAGTATATATATTCATAATCAGCATAAAATTCTAAGACGATTTAGCGATGTCCGTCTGTCTGTCTGTCTGTCTGTCTGTTGAAATCACGATAGAGCCCACATTATTTGACGTAGACCTTTGAAATTTGGCACAAGTGTGTGTATTATCCCTAGGATGGTTGGTATTGAAAATGAGATATATCGGTCCACGTTTTGGTATAGCCCCCATATAACGGTACCTACCGATATTCGGTATTTTGATGATTTATGCCACATTTTTTCACGGATTTGTCTGAAAATTGGTATTTGTAGGTCACAACGGGTCCCTGAGCGTGTGGCAAAACATTGCATGTATAGGTCCACGTTCTGGTATAGTCCCCATATAACGGTACCTCCCGATATTCGGTATTTTGATGATTTATGCCACATTTTTTCACTGATTTGTGTAAAAGTTGGTATTTGTGGGTCATAATGGGTCCTAGTTCGTGTGGCGAAACATTGTAATTATAGGTGCACGTGTTGGTGTAGTCCCTATATAACGGTACCTCCCGATATTCGGCATTTTAATGTTTTTTGCCACATTTCTTCTAATGTTCTTTTACCCTAGGGTGGAGTGTATTAAAAGTTTGGCCCGGTCGAACTTAATGTTTTTTTACTTGTTTTTTTACCATTTTTGCCATCGGGCGCCATGTAAATTTTTGGAATTTTTACTTATTTTTTGTAATTATGTAATTATTTTTTATGTTGCACAGTGTTATGGATTTTCTAAAATTGTCTATGCCAAATCAATTCACCATTCCTAAATCGCATGAGACAAATTTGAAGAAAATGCCGCACAAAGAATAATTGCCCTGGAACTGCAACTAATTTGTAAAATTATTCCAAATTATAAAAAATTGTGTTACCACCTTATTTTAAAGTTTTCAATTTTTTCAGTCCATTCTACAAAAAAATGGCAATTAAACGTTGTTTGACCTATTCTTAGGTGACTCAGCGATCAAACATTGTTATCTTTACATCAAATGCATTTCAAATATGAATTGCAAAAAATATTGACACAAATGTCGTGTTTGGCTAATTGCCGCCGGAATGTAGGAGAGGGGGTGAAACTATTAAACAAATAATAATTTTTTTCTATAAATAATGTCGCGATAGGCCAATAGTCATTACAATAAGTAGTGTCGGACGGACTATCACTTTTTCTGCGTTGTTGAAGTTTGTGGAAATCGTTTGAATAGATGATTTTTCATTTTCACTGAATTTTCTAATTTCTATTGTTTTTCCCAATATTAATTATATGTTTCCGTTTTGTTGTTGTAATTATTTCAATTAATTTTTTTTACAATTTTTGTGAGAATGTTAAAGTTATTGTTTTCTGGTTTTCATTGATGCACTTAGAATGTTCTTGCCATTGTTATTGGTATTCTATTTTATAGTGAAACTAAATTTCCGATTCAACACCGCTCACATTTAAGTCCGATTCTCAACTAAAGCCACAGCCACATGAATGGTGGTGATGAGTGAAATTGCCATGCTCCCACATTTAAATGATGCCGATCCGATTCAGAATGATTTGATGGAGAAAATTAATGATTGTGGTTAGTTTTATTTTGGGGCCCATCTGATTGCCGGCTGGCTATGTGGAGATGATAAATGATTTGGGTTTGAGTAAAAAAATAAATTATTTTCAGACTTAACTCCCTGAGCAGGGGGATTTAAGAGTTCATATAATTATCTCTCTCACTCTCTCTCAATTGGAGAATAATTTATGATTTCTAGTCATTTCTCTTGAGTTGGAGAGTTAAATTAGTTTGTCCGATTCTAATTAGAAAACCAACCGGATTTTTAAGACATAATAAAAGAAGACCTAAAATAATTCTTTATAGATAAGTAGTAGTTATTCTTCAAGGCTAACAGAAGCTCTTTCAAAAAGATAACATGAGATTTTATAATAGAAGGATAGCAAGATCTTTCCTATAGAGGTAAGTAGGTTTGAATTTACTTTGGTTTTTTTTTTGGAATTTTAAAAAGGAACAGAATATCGAATGTTCATATCTAACAATTTAAAAAGTATCAGTCAGAGACAGATGTTCGATTATTTAAAGATTTGACTGTCTATAGAATAGGTTCCGAAGGAATGGACCAATATTCTCAATTTCTTATCAGACCTAAATAAATATGAAATAAATATTGTGGGGGAGGTACCAGAAGAAATGACCCGATCTCCTCTATCTTTACAACAGATCTTGTGTTGATGGATTATTAAAAACGTTAAACCTTTGTAGGGGAGGTACCAGAAGGAATGTTCCGATCTCTACCACAATTATAAAAGATATTGTGTTGATGGAAATATTGAGATGTGCCAAGTCTGAATGGAATCGGATATTAATTTCGCGTTTGATGAGCTTCATGGATATTCAAAATATTGACCCTTTGTGGGGGAACTACCAGAAGGAGTTTATCTATATATTCCATCTTCACACCAGAACTTGTATTAGTAGAAATAATTAGATGTGTGAAATATGAAGAGAACCGGATGCTTATTTTGGATTTTATAATCGTTTTGGTTAATAAGAACGTTGACCCTTTGTGGGGGAGGTACAAGAAGAAATGGTCCGATCTCTGCCATTTTCATAAAAGACCTTGTGTTGCTAGAAATATTGAGATGTGTCAAGTCAGGATGGAATCGGATCTTAATTTAGCGTTTTATGAGGTTCATGGATATTCAAAATTTTGATCCTTTGTGGGGGAGGTATCAGACGGAGTTTATATTTATATCTATCTTCACACCAGACCTTGTGTTAGTAGAAATAATGGGATGTGTGAAATATGAATAGAATTGGATGCTTATTTCGGATTTTATAATAGTTTTGGTTATTAAAAACGTTTACCCTCTGTGGGGGAGGTACCAGAGAAATGGAAAGATCTTGTGTTGCTAGAAATATTGAGATGTGCCAAATCTGAATGGAATCGGATATTAATTTAGCTTTTTATGAGCTTCTTGGATATTAAAAATTTTGATACTTTTGTGGGAGAGGTACCTAAAGGAGTTTATCGTTATATTCCATCTTCACACCAGAACTTTTATTAGTGGAAATAGTGGGATGTGTGAAATATTAAGAGAAACGGATGCTTATTTTGGATTTTATAATCATTCTGATTATTAAAAACGTTAAACCTTTGTGGGGGAGGTACCAGAAGAAATGGTCTGATCTTTGCCATTTTCATAACAGATCTTGTGTTGATTTAAATATTGGGTTGTACCATGTCTGAATGAAATCGGATGTGTGTAGGTTGATAAAATTGTACTCAAATGTATATTATGTCTGCAGGACTTTTGTTATTGAAAGTGAGCCATGTAGGTCCACGTTTTGATATAGCCCCAATATAACGGTACCTCCCTATTTTCGGTATCTGGGTGACTTAAGCTACGTTATTCACCGGAATTGTTTCAAATTTAGTATTTGAAGTTTGTAATAGATACTACAGACTAAGACAGAACATTATCTGTGCAGGTCCACGTCTTCGTGTCGCCCCCATGTAAAAGTACCTCCCGCTATTCGGTATTTTGATGATTTTAGTGGCATTATTCACCGGAATTATTTAAAATTTGGTATTTGAAGTTCGTAATGGATACTACAGCCTAAAACATAAAATTGTCTGTGCAGGTCCAAAGAATTTTTAACGGATTTTATTGGTTTAAAAAATTGACAAATCCGTGCCAAATAGTGGAGAGTATTCAAAGTTCGACCCGGCCGAACATACAGTTTTTTACTTGTTTGTCATAGGTTGTAGTACCCACTAATATCATCTAATACGAAATTTGGAACAATTCCGATCTATAATCTCGACAAAATCATCAAAGTTCCGAATATTTAGAGGTACTGTTATATGGGGACAATAAAACGAAAACGTGGACCGACATAACCGATGGCCTACTAATAAAATACACATGTGTTCAAAATTGTAGCCTTCTATCTCAATGCGTTCGAAAGAATTGACGGACAGACAGTCAGACAGACGGACATAGCTATATCGACTTAGAATTTTACGCTGACCAAGAATATATATACTTTGTTGGGTCTGACATGAGTATTTCAAAGAGTTACAAACGGAATGACAAAGTTAATATACCCTCCATAGTATGCAGGGTATACAAATACCTTTGTGTGTTAAAACTTTCACGACAATCCTTATCCTTATCTTTTAACTTTGTGCAGTTTAATTTTCTCCAGCTACAGTACTTAATCCAGGATTATTTATTTGTTTTAGCCATAAATGTATTGTCATATTCAAGCATATAGTTATACGACCGCCAGAATCCGCTAGGTTAAATTTCACTGGTTTACTGGCTTTCATACCTTTCTAAAACATGACTCATTTCCATTGTTAGGTTTCACACAAGAACTTCTAATATTTATTTATTTTGAAGGTGCAATATTAATGGAGTGAACCTCATGAATTGATGTTTGTATGTACGAGAATGTCTTCGCGGTTTTCTACTTACATATATTGTGCTGTTGAATTCCAGATTCAATAGTATTTAAATTAGTTTTGAGACCAATTTTTTAAATGCAATTTTGTGCGAAATGATTAACAATAGAAGCGTCTATTGATTTCAACGACGTTTGTTTATGATTCTCATGTGATTGTTGTTGTTTGTGACTGTTTGTTTATCAGCTGCTAAATATTATCTCAATCAGCTGTATGAAACGTTAATTAGTTATACGTAACTGCAAGGTGGACATTGTAAAATTGTGATGTCAAAAGAGAAAAAATCAATACATATGGAAATCCCTTCAGGATTAATTGTAGAGATGTATAATAGAATTTTAAGGTAGAAAGGTAATGGGTTGGTTTTTCGTAAAAGAACAAAGGATCTTTGCATGACCAGGTTTTCATTAGTTTGGGGACTAAGATTGCCTTTTTTTACTAAAACGTGTAAGAAACATGTAACAAGTTTTCACGTACTGAATTTTTTATACTTTTCACTGGCATAAAAATTAAATCATAGTCAAATCTAGGGGCTTGATAATGCCCAATATTTGGGATAGGTGTAAAAATGACATCATTCTATAACCTCACAATAACTGCTTACAAAAATGTAAACATGTAATTAAAGCTGCAAGTACATAAAAAACTTGACGTCATGGCTATTAATGTCAAATTATAGTGGAAAACGACGGCAAAATTCGCATTGAAGCTATTCGCGAATTTTGCTATGTAATTGAAAGATCAAACTATTAAATCACATTTTTGGAGGAAAAACCAGGCATTTCATTCATTTTTCGCGCGGTTTAACTGTTTTTAAAAATGAGGAAAATATTGAATAATTGAAAATAACTTGTTTGCATGCAAATTTGACTGGAAGTGGGCATAGCCTCAGGGCTGTATTTCTGTAGTTTTACGAAGCTGTTCTACCTCCTTATTGTACCATGATACATCGTACCATGGAAGAATTAAGAAGGTAAAGTCAAGCAATCATGTGTTTACAATTTTTCAAAATTATTCGCTTGACAACATCTCATTGTCAAAATTTATATTTATAAATCCATTGTATACATAGAAATCAGAGATTGCAAACTGTTTTTATTTAGTGAAATTTGTCAAGGTAAATTACAGAAAATGCAGAGATGGATATACTTATACTTCGAAATGACTTTACCTTCTAAATTTTACATTTATTTCTCCCCTATCCCTTTGTTCAATACCCAATTTAGTACCACTTAGTACTCCTCCTCAATTATAGTATACATTTCCTAAACCACCTCCCTATCTTAACCGCAAGACACCAACAGTAACATCTCTATCAAATTTCAGGATTTAAGCTCAATCACTTCACCAAATGCCCAATTTAGTAATATTTAGTACGAATATACTAGACATTTCAAAAACCACGTTCTTATCTTAATTCCAGATATTTTTAGTACGTAGTATTATTGGTATTTTAGTACGTATTTCCGAAGAATCCAGGCTTATCTCACGCATACGCACTAAGACTGACCTTCCTGTAAATTTACAAGATTCAAGTTTTATCGGGGCGTTGATTCTCGATCAGTCAGTCAGTTATATCAATACACGGTTATATATAGATTGAATATTTTATTTGAGAATATTTTCAATGAATGAAACCCTCAATGGCTCACTTTACGGGTAACCTATGCTACATGACTTTAATAAACACATTCCAACCATTATATATTTAAAATTACATTTATATTTATTTAAGAACATTTTATAAATATACCTTTGTTTCTTAGAACATTATTTATTTTGCGATTACAAATGTTTCCCTAAACGTGTCAGTGTTTAAATGCAAGCTTACATACACATACAAACAGTACTTAAATAACGTGTGTAAATAGTAAGTATTTGTTATTATATATTCGGCAATAATATCAATATAAAGGCATTATAAATATAATCTTATAAATTATCACGAGAGACAATATATTTTATAATTTAAGTATTGAGGAGTTCCAAAAAAAATCGAGTCAATTTTTACATAATTTGATTGATGATATTAAACTGTGGAAGGGGTAATCTCACAAAACACCAATTAAAGGGGCTATATAGTAACAATTTTGTATAAAAAATTATAATAGTTTTTGTTATTCAAAAACCGATCTCTACCATCTTTGTAACAGATCTTATGTTGATTTAAATATTGAGATGTACTAAGTCTGAATGGAATCTGATGTTAATTACGTGTTTTATTAGCTTTATGAATATTCAAAATCTTGACCCTCCCCCCCACGATAACCGAAACTGTGAACCGATATGTTTCATCTTCACACGAGACCATGGGTTAATAAAAATATTGTGATGTGTGCAATTTAAAGACAATCGGTATCTTTTAACACATTTTATAAGAGATATACTTATTCAAAAATTTGACCCTTTGTGGGGGAGGTATTTGAAGAAGGTGACCGATATTGTCCGTTTTCGCACCTGTCCTAGCACTGATGCAAATATTAGGATTCGCAAAGTTGAATCATCCTTTCTTCATCTGTGCAGTTAATTATTTTCTTTGAAAATGTTGACATTTTGTTGGGGAGGTACCAGAAGGAGTGAACCGATATTGCCCATCTCCGAACTTGATCTAAGTTTGACAATAATATTACGATGTACCAAGTTTGGATCGGATCGGATACTCCCTTCGAGAGTTACCGTTCGCACCAGCCGGCCAGACAGACTTACGGACGGACATCGCTAGATCGACTCCAAATGTACTGAAACGGATTTGGTCCAAAGAGACCTAAAATCGTTATTTCTATGAGGCACGGTTTGGCCTTATCAAATGATATATACCCTCTCTAGCCATATGGCTGAGGGCATAAAGGGTTGGAAATTGCTTAGACAGAAAGGGTGGATAGGAGTTTCCCATTAAAGCCACAATACCAAAATTGAGCCTTGTTCAAAACAGTATATTAAGAAACAGAATCGACAAATTACAGGTTATTCGATTAGTGTGAACTGCACCCTTTGCTACTCCCATCCCACGGAGAACTTTATGTCTATTTATAGGATGTTTCCAACAAGAAACAACAATTAAGCTTGCGTATGGGTAGACGATTTGTAAACATGCTTAATATCAGACTTCTATAGATAGAAAATTTCCTAGAAGACTTCTACAAATAAAGGGCTTTCTAGAAGCCTGCTACAGCTGGAAAAACTACTTTCTGAAATTCTTCAATTAATAGAAATTGATAGAAAACTTTGCCAAAGTCTTCATCATAAACGACTGTCTACTGGTCTTCTATTAACTGAAGGCTTTGGAAAGTCTTCCATTAAGATTAAATCTCCGACATTTTATCTATAAAAATATGGCTTTCCACATGTCTGGCATGAAAGACAGTCTTTCAATTTCAATTCCAATGAAAAAGTATAGCTCAACATTCAAATACTTTAAATCGTGTGATATAGGTATATGGGGGTTATTCCCATTTGTGAATATACACTGAAATTTAAATATAGAATTCAAAATGTCCATGTTCCATGTATACAGAATTTAATATCAGAGACTTATAGGTATAAATATTGAAATGAGTCGATTTTCTTTGGAATATTCCCTCTCATCTCAAAGTGTTTTTTTAAGATTCATTATTTTGAGAATAATTTCTTTTATGATATCTTTGTAACAAAAAATATTTAGAAATATTTAAATTATAAATACTTTAAGAGAATAATAATATGATGGTGTTATAAACTAATTAAATAGTTACAATTATCTCTATAAATATATATATATATATATATATATATATATATATATATATATATATATATATATATATATATATATATATATATATATATATATATATATATATATATATATATATATATATATATATATATACTTTCTTTATAACGATATTAAGTGTTTCATTACATTATCTTTAAGATAAATACATACATACATATATATAATGGATATATATAAATAGGCATGGGTGGGGGGTCAATACACACAAACAAAGAAATGCAAAACTTAATACTACAGTTTTTATTGGATATTTGGGTGGAGATTAAGGGGGCTAAACGTTTTGGAAAACAATAAGATTCAATCAATGGCCTATATAAGGTAGGTCACAAAGTCAACTTATATGGGCCATTTTCAAAATAAAATTCTAGCTAACATTTGAAATTTAAGTGGAGATTCACTGCATTCACAAATTTATGTTGAGGGTAAAAAATTGATTAAACTAAAATTATATTTAATATAACTGACAATATGTTTTGTATACATAGGGTGATAGTCTCAATTAGGGCATAGCAATACATACATCTCTAATAATATTATATACTTTATGTTTCACCATAGTTCTTATCATCTATTTTGTAACACTATCACTACCCTCAATGATGGTGGTATTAAATATAGCCCGACACAGCCTAACAATGCCGTGAGAAAAACGTCCATAGCATTTGGGTTTATCCTTCCAGGCGATACAAACATAATAGAATGGCACACCGGCTAGGGTTATGGCCAAACCCACGAGTAAATTCATTGGCTGCGTAAAACTGGGCATTAGTACGAGGACAATGCAACATATGATGAAAATGATTGGCAAGGCTGTGTGGACTCGTATTGGACGGGGTATATCGGGTCTGAAAAGGTAGGAAAAATAAATATTATTAATAACAAGTAAAATAGTATCAGCCGTTTTTTTTGCGACAGATGTATACTCCAGCCTTGAGTTATGATTATTAAAACGTTGACCCTTTAGGTGGGGAGATTCCGGAGCAGTTGGCCAATTCGTATCTGACATAAGACTGATATAAATATTACAACGTGACGGATTTCGACTATTTCCTATACTTTATATGAGATATGTGCAAATTTTTGGAAAATGTGGAAATATGCGTGAGGTACCAAATATAGCGGATCGAAGTATTCAATTTTCATACTTCATCTAATCCAGATAAAAAATATTGATATGTGTAAAATTTGAAGGAAACATTTATATCCAATTTTATGAAACTTTTTTTCGCAAGTTATGTCAGATATAAGTATTTGTGGGAGAGGTACCAGAAGGGGTTGGCAGATGTATATAATCTTCACAACATATCTTGCGTTAGCAAAAATATGTGGATGTGTGAAATTTGAAGAGATTTGGATGATTATTTCGCTTTCTTTGAGCGTTTTGTTTTTCAAAATCTTGAACCCTATGAGTGGGAGGTACCAGAAGAAATAGTCCGAAATCAACCATTTTTATAACAGATCTTTTAGTTTATAGAAATATTGAGATGTGCTAAGTCTGAATGGCATCGGATGTTAATTTCGTGTTTTATGAGCTTCACAAATATTCAAAATTTTGACCAGAAGGAGTGGACCGATATATCCCATTTTCACACCAGAACTTTGGTAAATACAAATATTAAGATGTGTGTAATTTGAAGAGAACCGCATGCTTATTTCGAATTTTATAATAATTTTGGCTTTGGAAAAATTTGACCCTTTTGTGGGGAGGTCCGATTCTACCACCTTTATAACAGATCTTTTAGTTTATGGAAATATAGAGAAATATCGATTTTGTTATTCAAAACTTTGACCCTTTGTGGGGGAGGTACCAGGAGGAATGGTCCGATTTCTATCGTATTTATAACAGATCTTGTTTTGAAATATTGAGATGTGCCAAGTCTAAATTGAATCGGATATTAATTTCGAGTTTCATGAGCTTCACGATTATTTAAAATTTTGACCCTTTGTGGGGGAGGTGCCAAAAAGAGTGGACCGATATATTCCATCTTCACACCAGACCTTGAGTTAATAAAAATATTGTGATGTGTGAAATTTGAAGACAATAGGTCACTTACATCACATTTTATAAGAGTTATAATTATTCAAAATTTTGACCCTTTGTGGGGGAGGTATTGGATGGAGTGGACCGATATTGTTCATTTTCGCACCTGACATAGCACTGATGCAAATATTAGGATTTGTATAGTTGCAGCAAAATCAGATTATCCTCTCTCTTTCTGTGACGTAAATTATTTTCATTGAAAATGTTCATCACCGAACTCGATCTTAGTTTGACAATAATATTACGATGTTTCAAATTTAGATCAAATCGAGAGAGTTATCGTGCGCACCAGCCAGACAGATAGACAGACAGGCGGACGGATGGATGGACATAGCTAGATCGACTCCAAATTTAAGAAGACCCAGAGGACTTTCCAAAGAAAACGAAGAAGATCCAAGAAATTATTTTAATAAATGGTGTTTTCTAATTGATGACCAAAAAATACTTTTACAGGAATGCATAAGTATGCTCTTTAGTAACAAATCGTTTTAAAGAAGACTAGAATAACTTCTGAAAGAAAGTATTAAAATCCAGAAGCTCTTCACTTGGAAGACCTGAGAATCTTTTTATAGAATTCTAATATGTCTTCTTATAGAAGACCTCAGGATCTTTTTTATAGAATTCTAAAATGCCTTCTAATAAATTACAAGGAGAATTTCTTTCACACGACGAGGTCGATTCTATAGAAGACTGTGTGATCTGATGTAAGATCAATACATGCACGAATAGAGGACTGAACAGTTTTCTCATTGATGATCATATCACCAATTCGAATGCGTTTAAATGTAATGCAATTGTCTATATTTTATATTCCCATTAATGTTAACAACGACACCTTCAATTTTCTCCCAAAGCTGGGGGCCGACATGGGGCATCTTGTTTAATTAATTGCAAATTACTAATGGAATGCAAAACTGATATGGAATTAAGAAAACAACGAATGTATCTCATTCCCATATCTCCCTGTTCTTTGTAATTAAGATTTATCGTCTTTTCACTTTGGGTCCAATCAATAAAACATTTCCTTGTTGTGCTCGGCTTACCTCGTTTTCCGTAACCACAACATGCCAGCTATACTGGCGACCACAGATAACCACAACACCGAACTAAAGTAATTGATTAAGGCATAAACGTCGGCCGTCAGCAGCATCAGCAATGACATCAGACACTGGAAATTACAAAAATAACAACATGAGAAATATTTTTCATAAAAAAAATTTGTTATTCTTACCGAAAAAATCAATGAAGGTATGGGTGTCTGCTGTTTGATGTGAAATAGTTGAAAGAATTTTGGTAAGTGACCCTCTTGGGCACCGGTAGCAAACAGGCGTGCCGATGTAAACAATACTCCATTGACACCACCGAAAGTACTCAAGGCAACAAAAATCGGAACCATAAATGCCAAAGAACCAAACATCCGGTTGCCGAATGTTACCGCCACCGCTAGCGAGCTAAGCATTTCGGTTTTCGATACCACGGCGAAATAGGCCAGGTTTACGAGAACATAAATGCCCGTTACCAGGGGCATGGCAATCCAAATGGCTCGGGGGAGATTTCTGAAAGGAAGATAAGAAAGGGATTATGATTAAAGACTATTTAGTCAAGGACTATCAGTATATTTTAAATTTATTTTTTTTTTTTTTTTCAGGAATAATCTGAGACAATCTTGGGATTTTTAAAGGATTTTCTTTTTGATTGTTTTAAATAGGAGCATCAGAGCCTTAATTGCATACTTTTCACGGACTATTTGATATATAACCACGGATTTTTTTATTTTTTCCTTTTTCCAAGGACCAGAAAACTTGGATTTTTTAAAGAAGATCTTTTCCAAAGAGCCGCAAACATGGATTTTTTAAAGAAAATTGTTTCCATGGACCAACAAACGTGGATTTTTTAAAGAATATTTTCCAAGGACCAACAAACGTGGATTTTTTAAAGAATATTTTTCCAAGGACCAACAAACGTGGATTTTTTAAAGAATATTTTTTCCAAGCACCAACAAACGTGGATTTTTTAGAGAATATTTTTTCCAAGGACCAACAAACGTGGATTTTTTAAAGAATATTTTTTCCAAGGACCAACAAACGTGGATTTTTTAAAGAATATTTTTTCCAAGGACCAACAAACGTGGATTTTTTAAAGAATATTTTTTCCAAAGACCAACAAACGTGGATTTTTTAAAGAATATTTTTTCCAAAGACCAACAAACGTGGATTTTTTAAAGAATATTTTTCCAAGGACCAACAAACGTGGATTTTTTGAATAATATTTTTCCAAGGACCAACAAACGTAGATTTTTTAAACAATATTTTTTCCAAGGACCAACAAACGTGGATTTTTTAGAGAATATTTTTTCCAAGGACCAACAAACGTGGATTTTTTAAAGAATATTTTTTCCAAGGACCAACAAACGTGGATTTTTTAAAGAATATTTTTTCCAAGGACCAACAAACGTGGATTTTTTAAAATATATTTTTTCCAAGGACCAACAAACGTGGATTTTTTAAAATATATTTTTTCCAAGGACCAACAAACGTGGATATTTTTTGAGAATATTTTTTCCAAGGATCAACAAACGTGGATTTTTTAAAGAATATTTTTCCAAGGACCAACAAACGTGGATTTTTTAAAGAATATTTTTTCCAAGCACCAACAAACGTGGATTTTTTAGAGAATATTTTTTCCAAGGACCAACAAACGTGGATTTTTTAAAGAATATTTTTTCCAAGGACCAACAAACGTGGATTTTTTAAAGAATATTTTTTCCAAGGACCAACAAACGTGGATTTTTTAAAGAATATTTTTTCCAAGGACCAACAAACGTGGATTTTTTAAAGAATATTTTTTCCAAAGACCAACAAACGTGGATTTTTTAAAGAATATTTTTTCCAAAGACCAACAAACGTGGATTTTTTAAAGAATATTTTTCCAAGGACCAACAAACGTGGATTTTTTGAATAATATTTTTCCAAGGACCAACAAACGTAGATTTTTTAAACAATATTTTTTCCAAGGACCAAAGTTACGTGGATTTTTTAAAGAAGAATTTTTTCCAAGGACCAACAAACGTGGATTTTTTAAAGAATATTTTTTCCAAGGACCAACAAACGTGGATTTTTTAAGGAATATTTTTTCCAAGGACCAACAAACGTAGATTTTTTAAAGAATATTTTTTCCAAGGACCAAAAAACGTGGATTTTTTACAGAAGAATTTTTTCAAAGGACCAACGAACGTGGATTTTTTAAAGAATACTTTTTCCAAGGACCAACAAACGTGTATTTTTTAAAGAATATTTTTTCCAAGGACCAACAAACGTGGATTTTTTAAAGAATATTTTTTCCAAGGACCAACAAACGTGGATTTTTTAAAGAATATTTTTTCCAAGGACCAATAAACGTGGATTTTTTAAAGAATATTTTTTCCAAGGACCAACAAACGTGGATTTTTTAAAGAAGACTTTTTTCCAAGGATCAACAAACGTGGATTTTTTTAAAGAATATTTTTTCCAAGGATCAACAAACTTGGATTTTTTAAAGAATATTTTTTCCAAGGACCAACAAACGTGGATTTTTTAAAGAATATTTTTTCCAAGGACCAACAAACGTGGATTTTTTAAAGAATATTTTTTCCAAGGACCAACAAACGTGGATTTTTTTAAAGAATATTTTTTCCAAGGATCAACAAACTTGGATTTTTTAAAGAATATTTTTTCCAAGGACCAACAAACGTGGATTTTTTAAAGAATATTTTTTCCAAGGACCAACAAACGTGGATTTTTTAAAGAATATTTTTTCCAAGGACCAACAAACGTGGATTTTTTAAAGAATATTTTTTCCAAGGACCAACAAACGTGGATTTTTTAAAGAATATTTTTTCCAAGGACCAACAAACGTGGATTTTTTAAAGAATATTTTTTCCAAGGACCAACAAACGTGGATTTTTTAAAGAATATTTTTTCCAAGGACCAACAAACGTGGATTTTTTAAAGAATATTTTTTCCAAGGACCAACAAACGTGGATTTTTTAAAGAATATTTTTTCCAAGGACCAACAAACGTGGATTTTTTAAAGAATATTTTTTCCAAGGACCAACAAACGTGGATTTTTTAAAGAATATTTTTTCCAAGGACCAACAAACGTGGATTTTTTAAAGAATATTTTTTCCAAGGACCAACAAACGTGGATTTTTTAAAGAATATTTTTTCCAAGGACCAACAAACGTGGATTTTTTAAAGAATATTTTTTCCAAGGACCAACAAACGTGGATTTTTTAAAGAATATTTTTTCCAAGGACCAACAAACGTGGATTTTTTAAAGAATATTTTTTCCAAGGACCCACAAACGTGGATTTTTTAAAGAATATTTTTTCCAAGGACCAACAAACGTGGATTTTTTAAAGAATATTTTTTCCAAGGACCAACAAACGTGGATTTTTTAAAGAATATTTTTTCCAAGGACCAACAAACGTGGATTTTTTAAAGAATATTTTTTCCAAGGACCAACAAACGTGGATTTTTTAAAGATTATTTTTTCCAAGGACCAACAAACGTGGATTTTTTAAAGAATATTTTTTCTAAGGACCAACAAACGTGGATTTTTTAAAGATTATTTTTTCTAGGGACCAACAAACGTGGATTTTTTAAAGAATATTTTTTCCAAGGACCAACAAATGTGGATTTTTTAAAGAATATTTTTTCCAAGGACCAACAAACGTGGATTTTTTAAAGAATATTTTTTCCAAGGACCAACAAACGTGGATTTTTTAAAGAATATTTTTTCCAAGGACCAACAAACGTGGATATTTTAAAGAATATTTTTTCCAAGGACCAACAAACGTGGATTTTTAAAAGAATATTTTTTCCAAGTACCAACAAACGTGGATTTTTTTAAGAATATTTTTTCTAAGGACCAACAAAAATGGATTTTTTAAAGAAGACTTTTTTCCAAGGACCAAAAAATGTGGATTTTTTAAAGAATATTTTTTCCATGGACCAACAAAAGTGGATTTCTCAAAGAATATTTTTTCCAAGAATCAACTAACGTGTTTTTTTAAAGAATATTTTCTACAAGGTGTTGGTCCTGGATTTTTTAAAGAATATTTTTTCCAAGGACCAACAAACATCGATTTTTTAAAGAATATTTTTTCCCAGGACCGATTAACGGGGAATTTTAAAAGAATATTTTTTTACCAAGGACCAACAAACGTGGTTTTTTTAAAGAATATTTTTCCAAGGACCAACAAACGTGGGTTTTTTTAAGAATATTTTTTCCAAGGACCAACAAACGTGGATTTTTTTAAGGATATTTTTTCCAAGGACCAACAAACGTGGATTTTTTAAAGAATATTTTTTCCAAGGATCAACAAACGTGGATTTTTTAAAGAATATTTTTTTAAGAATATTATTTTCAAGGATCAACAAACGTGTTTTTTTTAAAGAATATTTTTTCCAAGGATCAACAAACGTGGATTTTTTAAAGAATATTTTTTCCAAGGATCAACAAACGTGGATTTTTTAAAGAATATTTTTTCCAAGGATCAAGAAACGTGGATTTTTTAAAGAATATTTTTTCCAAGGATCAACAAACGTGGATTTTTTAAAGAATATTTTTTCCAAGGATCAACAAACGTGGATTTTTTAAAGAATATTTTTTCCAAGGATCAACAAACGTGGATTTTTTAAAGAATATTTTTTCCAAGGATCAACAAACGTGGATTTTTTAAAGAATATTTTTTCCAAGGATCAACAAACGTGGATTTTTTAAAGAATATTTTTTCCAAGGATCAACAAACGTGGATTTTTTAAAGAATATTTTTTCCAAGGATCAACAAACGTGGATTTTTTAAAGAATATTTTTTCCAAGGATCAACAAACGTGGATTTTTTAAAGAATATTTTTTCCAAGGATCAACAAACGTGGATTTTTTAAAGAATATTTTTTTCAAGGACTAGAAAACATGGAGTTTTCAAAGAATATTTTTTCCAAGGATCAACAACCGTGGATTTTTTAAAGAATATTTTTTCCAGGGACCAACTAACGTGTTTTTTTCCAGAATATTTTCTCCAAAGACCAACAAAATTTTTTTTCTGCGGGAACCGTGATTCAGATATTTTTGGGTAGACAACGAAAATAGAGATTTCCCTTCTTCGGTGACTTATAGTGAAATTTGATGTAGAATATTTTTGCCTTTGACGCCATTCTTCTAAAATGATGCTTTGTAGGAGATTATTGCATAAACTTACACAAAGTAGGGCTTTGACCCTAAAATGAGTTTTCAATGCTTATGAATTCCTGTTGTTTAGGTAAGATTTAGACTTTTGATGTCGTCAAGGACCTATAGTAGAATTTTATGACAAATTATTTTGTAGAACATTTTGACTTGCTACGATCCCATTTAAAGGGAATTTTTAACCATATTTTGAAAAAAGTACCAAAAAGACCCATTTGTTGATCGAAGTAAGTCTTGTTTTTTTATCTGCAGACACTATGTACCTAAAATGCATGGATTTCAAGGAATCGTAATCCGAATATTTCCAAAAAGTGGGGGAAACTTGCCCCAGCTCTATTTTGGTTACTTTGCGATGTTAACTTTCAAAGCGCCAATATCGTGTCTTCTTCTTATTTTAGGTCTATTTTCATAATCTGCTGGATATTTCCCTGTAATAATTTTTGGTGTTGCCCAGTGTTATTGAAGGAACTATGCATTTTAACATGTGTAACATGTCCCTTGATTTAACGCATGTGCGTCAGAGACATCTTAAGCACATTCAACACTCTCTCACTCCATCTCTCTCGAACAAAAATAGCAACAAAGTAGAACATTTAACGAAGTTCATTCATTTACAAGGATATTCGATAACATTCATTAAATCAACAACTTGTTGAATGCTACCCATTTTTCATCCGCATCCTTGGATTCTCCTCCTCCTCCTCTTCATGCATCATTTAGAAATTGTACAACAAGGAATCCTTTGTGGTGCCAACGTCCTCGTTCTGCCAAGTGTCTGACTTGCAAGATTTTATGTTGAGTTTGATTTTTAGCTTAAGGAAACCACTTAAGCGAGACACCATACAAAGTCAACGAGCAGTGGAAACGAAGACAGAGAAACAAATAACATAAATGGGTCACATTAAGGATTTGTGAGGATAGAGAGAGAGATAGGAGGGGAAGTAGAAGGCAGCCACATGGGATGTAAAGCAGCAACAGGTCCTTACAAACTATTCAAGAATCACTAAAAAATATCATTTACTTTAGTTGCTGGGGAGGACGAATTTTGTTAAAGCTTTTAAAGATATTGGTTTAGACAACGGCCATAGGGGACGACAACATCATAGTAAATGACGTAAATGCCAAAGATTAAATGCTCCAAAGAAAAAGCAAAAGGGGAAGAGGAGAGGAGAGGGATGTGAATTCGAGCTAATCACTTACTTGTAAGGATCCTGCAGTTCTTCGGTAACAAAATTCAAATAGTTCCAGCCGCCAAAGGCAAACAGTCCCGAATAGAAGGCAAAGCCAATATTTTCAATACCATAATTGCCTTCCCACATATTTTCAAAGTTCTCCATTTGCCCCGTGGCCATTTGATAGACACCGGCCAGAATAATTAAGGCCAAAGCCAAGAGTTTGCCAGCCGTAAAGATATCTTGAACTTTCATTGCCCACTTCACCGACAGGCAATTGATGGCCGTGAGGAGACCTGGAAAGAGAGAGAGAGAAAGAAAAACAGAGTTCAAATAAACATGGATTTTTAAAATAGATTTTTCGAAGGACAACCAAGGATATAATAGTTCGTTCAAGTAGATTTTTTAAGGATAACCTGAGACATAGTCTAGGATTTTTGAAATCACATTTTGCAAGGACCCTCAAGGACATAATCGTGGATTTTTAAATAGTTTTTCCAAGACCCCTCAGAGACATAATCTTGGATATTTTTCAAGAACCTACAGAGAGATGGATTTAAAAAACAAAAAAATCAAGACCCTTCAGATACATAATCATGGATTTTTTTAAATATATTCTTTCAAGACCCATCAGACACGTAATCACAGATTTTCTAAATAGATTTCTTCAAGAACCTTCATAGACATAATCTTGGTTTTTTTTAAATAAATTTTTTCAAGGCCCGATCGATTTCAGAGATAAAACGCGTCTTGGATTTTTTAAAAAGATTTTTGAAGACCCTTCAGAGACATAACCGTGGACTTTTTAAATAGATTTTTTCAAGACCTTTCAGAGACATAATCGTGGATTTTTTAAATAGATTTTTTAGGACCCTATAGAGACATAACCGTGTTTTTTTTAAATAGATTTTTTTCAGAACCATTCAGAGATATACAGGCATGTCACAGAATGTAAAATCGTTCAAGAGTGAAAACGAAAACGGTTTTAGCTTCTCTAAAAAACGGAAAACGCAAAAATTTTGCGTTTTGATATCACTTTCAAAAAGCGGGGTGAAATTGAAATGTTCAGTGATTTTAACGTAAAAAATAAACAGAAGAAACATACATTTAACAGAAAATATTGTATTAACTAAATTCTCTTAGAATGAACATGTTTTTGGAATTTATTATACAAAAAATTTTTCCATGATGAAAAATAATAAAAAGGACTTGCGAGGAACTGGTGGTGGTGATATCAATTAATATGTTTTCAGTGAACACGAGAACAGTTTAATCAGAATTTGCGGATTGTATAAAAGTGTCGATGGAGTTGGTGGTGCAGTAAGCTTTGGGGATTTTGTAAGTGAATTAGACCTCAGTTGTTCTGAAAAAGAAAACTTTGATTCGTCATCATCTACACATATTCCAAGAACTCGAAAATCAAGTCAATTAGTTTTAAGTGAATCTGAAAACGAAGAGCTTAATTTTTCACCCTCAACTTCAAAGCAGACCACTTCGATTTTAAATAAAAAAGATAGACCAAGATCATGCATTCCAGCTGCTTTTAAAAATGTTTCTACATTGGCAATTGATCCAAGAACACCAACATTGGAAGAAAACCGTTCGCGAACACCTATTCAAAAACGACTTAGAAATAAAAGCTTATCGTGTTCTCCGCCATCTACACCAATAAGACAAGTGTCGGGCAGCCTAACAAAAGCAAAACCCACGCCTGCAGTAAAAAGACCCCGGGCAAGAACTCCATCAAAGCAAGATCTAAATGCGCTCTTAGTTGAGGAAAATTCTCATTTACAAAACAGTAAGGAAATGAAAAAACAAACTGAAAAGTTGGACAGACTTTGTAACATCCTGGAAAAAAGTATGTGGAAGAGCAGTTACATAATATTGAAATGCAAAAGAGAATGCGTGAACGGAACGAAATGAAACTCAAAATAGTTGAACTTGAAACTCTTAAATATGCTGTAGAACAGGAAAAAGCAAATACGACTCGTTCTTAACTTTACATTATTTTACACAATGGACTAAAAATGGTGGATCCTTACTCTGCATTTGAGTGAGATAAAGGATCCGATGCGTTCCTCAATGTCCGGCGACGAATTTTTTCAGTAGACCGCTGATTTATTCATTACATCATCATTTACAGCAAGTATTGAAGCCCCTGGCATTTTTACTTTTGGTGTTTACATTATAAAAAACAATTCAAACTCCTTTTTTAATTGTCAATAATTTGTTTACGATTTTTTTTTTCATGGAGTTACCATATTTTTATTTCAAAAATGTGAAATGATTTTTTTTCCGGATTAGTCAAAACGTTCGAGTGCTGAAGAAGCAAAAGCAAATCGTAACGATTTGGATAAGGTGAAATAAATCGATTTCGTAAAACTTCTGTGACATGCCTGATAATCGTGGATTTTTTAAATTGGTTTATTCAAGACCCTTCAGAGACATAATTGTGAATATTTTGAACAGATTTTTTCAGGACCCTTCAGAAACATAATCGTGGATTTTTAAATAGATTTTTTCAAGACCTTTCAGAGACATAATCGTGGACGTTTTAAATAGATTTTTTAGGACCCTGTAGAGATATAATCGTATTTTTTTAATAGATTTTTCAAGACTCTTCAGATACATAATCTTGATATTTTAAATAGATTTTAGCAAGGATCATCAAAAACATATTTTTTAAATAAAACGTTTTGAGGTACATATTCATGGATTTTTATACCCTCAGCCATATGGCTATAGATACGGTCACTTGATACGGCCAAACCGTACCTCATAGAAATAATGGTTTTCGACCCTACGTCTCTTTGAACCAAATCCGTTTCAGGACTTTTGGAGTCGATCTATCGATGTTCGTCCGTCTGGTTGTCTGATGCGCACGATCTCGAAGGGAGTATCTGATTTGGTTCAGACTTTGTACATCGTAATATTATTGTCAAACTAAGATCGAGTTCAGATATGGGCAATGTCGGTCCACTCCTTCTGGTACCTTACCCACAAAATGTCAACACTTTTTAAAAGAAAATAATTTACTGCATAGAGCGAGAAAGGATAATACGATTTTGCTCAAACTTTGAAAATCCTAATATTTGCATCAGTGCTAGGCCAAGTGCGGAAATGGACAATATCGGTCCACTCCATCAAGTACCTCTCTCAAAAAGGGCCAACATTTTGAATAATCAAAATCTTATAAAATGTGAAGTAAGGGTACGTTTGGCTTCAAGTTACATACATCACAATATTTTTATTAACCCAAGGTCTGGTGTGAAGATGGAATATATCGGAACACTCCTTCTGGTACCTCCCACACAAAGGGTCAAATTTTTGAATAATCATGAAGCTCATAAAACACGAAATTAGCATCCGATTCCATTCACACTTGGTACATCTCAATATTTCCATCAACACAAGATCTTTTAGAAAGATGGTAGAGATCGGACCATTTCTTCTAGTACCTCACCCACAAAGAGTCAAAGTTTTGAATAACAAAACGATTATAAAATACGAAATAAGCATCCGATTCTCTTTAAACGACACACATTGCATTTTTTTATGAACCCAAGGTCTAGTATGCAGATGGGATATTTCGGTCCACTCCTTCTGGCATCTCACCCACAAAGGGTCAACATTTTGAGTATCCATGAAGTTCATAAAATGCGACATTAATATGCGATTCCATTCAGACTTGGTACATCTCAATATTTCAATTAACACAAGGTCTGTTATAAAGATGGTAGAGATCGGACCATTGTTTCTGGTACCTCCCACACATAGGGTTCAAGATTTTGAAAAGCAAACTAAGAAAGCGAAATAAGCCTCCAACTCTCTTCAAATTTCACGCAACCAAATATTTTTGCTAACGCAGGATCTGTTGTGAAGATGATATATATCTGCGAACCCCTTCTTGTACCTAACCCACAAAGGGTCACAATTTTCAATACTTTACTGTCATATTTTCCAATTCGATTTCGAGGTCTCTGTTGGTATCTAATGTGGGATTTGGAGATGGTTGGGTGAAGGAAAAAGGCTTAAATCATGAAATTTGATATTGGTGTCGCTGTTGGCGTCTGTGGTTAAGATGTGGAGATGGTTTTGGAAATGTGTACTATAATTATACGAAAAGTACTAGATGTTAATAAATTCGGTATTGGGCGAAGGGATGGGGCTGGAATCCCAAAATTCGATATTGAGTTCTCTGTTGGTATCTGGAATTGAGATATGGATGTGGTGTTGTAACTGTGTACTATAGTTTTTCGAAGAGTACTAAATTGGGTATTGGGGGAAGGAATAGAATTTAAAACCTGAGACTTGATGTAGATGTCGCTTTTTGTGTCTGTGGGTAGGATATGGAGTTGGAAAAGTGTCCTATATTTGTACGAAAAGTAATTTGGTATTGGTTGAAGGGATAGAGATAAAATTCCGAAAGTTGCTATTTAGATTACTAATGGTGTGTACGTTTGAGATTAGGCGGTGGTTTTAGAAAAGTGTAATATAATGGTACGAAAAGTACTAAATTTGGTTTTGGGTGAATGAATAATGATGGAATCCTAAAATTCGATATTTAGATCTCTGTTGATATCTAAAATTGAGATATGGAGATGGTTTCGGAAATGTGTGCTAAAATTGCACGAAAAGTACTAAATGTTGCTAAATTCGGTATTGGGTTAAAGAATAGAGTATAAATCCTGAAATTTGATATAGATTTAGCTATTAGTGTCTGTGGTTAAGATATGTCGGTGGTCTTCAAAATGTGTACTATAGTGGTTCGAAAAGTACTAAATTGGGTATTGGGTGAAGAGGTAGAGCTGAAATCCTCAAATTCAATATTTAGGTCTCTTTTGGTATCTCAAATTGAGATATGGAGGTGGTTTTGGAAATGTGTATTATAATTGTACAAAAAGTACTAAATTTGGTATTGGGTGAAGGGAGAAAGCTGGAACCGTGAAAATTTATATTACTATAACTGTTAATGTCTAGCATTGAGATATGGAACTGTTTTGCAAATGAGCACTAAAATTATACGAAAAGTAGTAATTGGTTCAAAATTTGATATTGAGTGAGTGTATAAAGCTGGGATCCCGAAATTTGATATTGAGGTCTCTGTTAGTATCTGGTGGTGGTTTTGCAAATGAACAACAGTCATTGGGTTTAAAAAAAGTGTCATTTTCTTTTCTTCATAGTACTTACACAAACAGACAGCACCCAAAAGTTTCACGGCATTATCGGGCGGTTCACAATCTTCGAAAAACGGCTTGGCTGCATACTGGGCAAATGTCAATGCGACAATTGTCTAAAACGAAAAAAAAACAGAAGAGAGACACGTACTTTAATTAAATATTGTTAGCAAAATAATTCAATTCACATTTGTCTTAATAGCGCCAGCCAGCATAGTTGGTCGCAATGAAACTATGATGGCAACAACAACGAAAACAAAAAAAAAAAAAACAATATTAAGAAAGGCTTGCAATGTCCCAGCAAACAATTTGGGGGGAAAAATACAATTAATAAAACAATTATTATGAACTACGTTAACAGAAGAACTATCTTCATTCTAAAGAAGGCACTCGGTGGTATTCTGTCCGTAGGAGCTATAGTTTTTCCGATCGAGTAAGACGTAACGTGTTCTATAAATAGAATATTCTACATTTCAAGATGTTCAACAGATTCTTTACTGTTATAAGACTTTTTAAGGGTCTTCCAGAGATAGAAGGCCTGCAAAAGATTTTGTAAACACAGAAGACCATTAAAGGTCTTCTAGATTTAGAAAGCCACTGCAGATCTTTTATAGTAAATATAGTACCCCTAGGTCTTCTATTGCAAATAGAAAATCTCAAGGCTTTCAAGTCCTGGTGCTGGATTTTTGTTCTAAGAAAATTTGAAATGAGCAATATTTTTTTTATACAGGCTGATATAAAAAAACTGCAACAAAGTCAAATGCCATAATTTTTACATTTTCTTTATATTTTATTGAGTGAAAGCAAAAAAAATTCAGGAATAGCATCACATTTTAGAATAAGTTTAGATTTGTTCGAATTGGTCACATTTGGCACGAATTAAGACCTTCAAACGGCCAATGAAACCGTCACACGCTGCCCGAATGTTGCTCTGCGGTGTTTTGGCCCATTCCCGGCGAAGCTCTTGCTTAGTGCCAACCTTGCTTTCCAAAATACTCCAGACACAGTAGTCCAACGGATTGGAATCCGGAGATTTTGGTGGGCATTGTGCGCTGGAAATGAGTAGAGGTACCTCATTTTGTAACCATTCTTAAGTGGCACGTGCTGAGTGCGATGGTGCTGAGTCATGTTGGAATGTCCAAGGTCCAATGTCTGCGGCCAAAATGTTTGCGTACCCAAGGCTTTAATACACAATCCAGAATACTTTCACAATAATATTCGGCATTTATTCTGCCTTAACCTTGCTTTCCAAAATAACCTTGTTTTCCAAAATACTCCAGACACATAGTCCAACGGATTGGTATCCGGAGATTTTGGTGGGCATTGTGCGCCGGCGATGAATGAAGCGAGGAACCTAATTTTGTAACTATTCTTGGATGGCGCGTGCTGAGTGCAATGGTGCTGAGTCCTGTTGCAATGTCCAAAGTCTGCGGCCAAAATGTTTGCGTGCTCAAGGCTTTAATACACCCTCCAGAATATTTTCGCGATAATATTCGCCATTTATTCTGATGACACGGTCGATTAATACGAGCAGAGAGCGACCATCGGCTGTTATGGCGGCCCACTCCATCACCATAGCCGGCGCATGAGTTCTGGTGATCAACTGAAGGTGCACATTTTCAGCTGACCCCTTTGGCAAGTAAACACGATCATTTTGTTTGTTTACAAACTGCTCTGCTGGACAACGAATGTTTTCTCATCGGAGAAAACCAAATTCGGCAGTTCACCACTTTCGGCCAAGCGAAGCAACTCTTTAGCTCTTTTAAGTCTATTTCTTTCCGTTGAGGTGTAAGTTTTTGCACTTTTTGGAATTTCAATGGCTTTACCCCGAGCTCATTTTTCAATATTTGCCGAATGGAATATTGCGATATGTTCAGCTCACAAGTCAATTTTCGCCCACTGCGACGCGGGTTTCGATCAAGTCGCTTCTGTACTTTTCGAACCATTTCTGCTGATATTGCTGTTTTCTTCCGTTCACATCCCTGACGTCGGGCTACACTACCAGTATCACATTAACGGGCTATGGTACGAGACACAAAAGTTTTATTCACATTTAAGTGCTGGAGTGCCCTAACGATAGCCACTTGTGGTTTTCCAACCAAATATAAAGAAATCACACTATCACGCTTGATTTCCATGCTTTTGTACGCTTGTAAACAATATAATGAGCTGTCACTGGAATAATTTTAACGGCTGTCGGACGAGTGGCTTAGAAATGACAGCAGTCTGAAGTTGGTTGCAGTTTTTTCATCTCACCCTGTATAGTACCTCTAGGTCTTCTATAGCAAATAGAAGGTCTTCATTTCACATTTCAGGTAAGGCAAATCTTTCAAAATTGTATTTTCTAATCTAAAAAAAACATTCTGCTGGGAGTTTCTACTTTTGCTTTCAAGACATTCGTTCGCCTATTTTTTTAATAAATAACGAAGGTTGTCATCCGTTCGTTTTCTTTTTTTCATTTGTAAATTGGAAAACAACAAACATTACAACCTTTTTCAAGAACAACAACTTTATTCAATTTATTCCACGCCGACAAGCAACAGATGTCGCATTTCTAACAACAAACGTGTATGTATGTGTGTAGATGTGTGTGTCACTTGTTTTCCAAATGATCGATAGTTTTCCCATTAATTTACCTGGGTGGTAGGTCTAATAATGAGCAATGCAATCCATAAACGTAAAAATCCAACCAAAGGACCAAATGCCACCAGCAGATAGGCATAATCGCCACCAGACCGGGTTATACTTGTACCCAACTCGGCATAGCATAGGGCGCCAATGGTCGAAAGAATGCCGCAGGCTGACCAGATGAGCAGGGAACTTCCAACAGATCTATAGGGAGAGAGGGGAATGGAAAAAGATAAGAAAACATAAATTTTAGGGGAATTTTTTAAGAATAATTTTTAAAGGACTTAAAACGTGGATTTTTAAAGAATATTTTTCCAAGGACCAACAGAAACGTGGATTTTTTAAAGAAAATTTTTTTCAAGGACCAACAAACGTGGATTTTTTAAAGAATATTTTTTCCAAGGTCCAAAAACACGGATTTTTAAAGATTAGTTTTTCCAAAGACCAACAAACGTGTATTTTTTAAAGAAATTTATTTTCCAAGGACCAACAAACGTGGATTTTTTAAAGAATATTTATTCCAAGGACCAACAACCGTAGATTTTAAAAAAAATATTTTTTCAAGGACCAACAAACTTGGATTTTTCAAAAGAATATATTTTCTAAACAACAACAAACGTGGATTTTTTAAAAATTATTTTTTTCAAACAACAACAAACGTGGATTTTTCAAAAGAATATTTTTTTCCCAGACAACAACAAACGTAGATTTTTTAAAAAATATTTTTTCCAAACAACAACAAACGTGGATTTTTTAAAAAATATTTTTTCCAAACAACAACAAACGTGGATTTTTTAAAAAATATTTTTTTCCAAACAACAACAAACGTGGATTTTTTAAAAAATATTTTTTCCAAACAACAACAAACGTGGATTTTTTAAAAAATATTTTTCCCAAACAACAACAAACGTGGATTTTTTAAAAAATATTTTTTCCAAACAACAACAAACGTGGATTTTTTAAAAAATATTTTTCCCAGACAACAACAAACGTAGATTTTTTAAAAAATATTTTTTCCAAACAACAACAAACGTGGATTTTTTAAAAAATATTTTTTCCAAACAACAACAAACGTGGATTTTTTAAAAAATATTTTTTTTCCAAACAACAACAAACGTGGATTTTTTAAAAAATATTTTTTCCAAACAACAACAAACGTGGATTTTTTAAAAACTATTTTTTCCAAACAACAACAAACGTGGATTTTTTAAAAAATATTTTTTCCAAACAACAACAAACGTGGATTTTTTAAAAAATATATTTTTTTTAAACAGCAACAAACGTGGATTTTTTAAAAAATATTTTTTCCAAACAACAACAGACGTGGATTTTTTAAAAAATATTTTTTCCAAACAACAACAAACGTAGATTTTAAAAAAATATTTTTTCCAAACAACAACAAACGTGGATTTTTTAAAAAATATTTTTTCCAAACAACAAACGTGGATTTTTTAAAAAATATTTTTTCCAAACAACAACAAACGTGGATTTTTTAAAAAATATTTTTCCAAACAACAACAAACGTGGATTTTTTAAAAAATATTTTTTCCAAACAACAACAAACATGGATTTTTTAAAAAATATTTTTTCCAAACAACAACAAACGTGGATTTTTTAAAAAATATTTTTTCCAAACAACAACAAACGTGGATTTTTTAAAAAATATTTTTTCCAAACAACAACAAACGTGGATTTTTTAAAAAATATTTTTTCCAAACAACAACAAACGTGGATTTTTTAAAAACTATTTTTTCCAAACAACAACAAACGTGGATTTTTTAAAAAATATTTTTTCCAAATAACAACAAACGTGGATTTTTTAAAAAATATATTTTTTTTAAACAACAACAAACGTGGATTTTTTAAAAAATATTTTTTCCAAACAACAACAGACGTGGATTTTTTAAAAAATATTTTTTCAAACGTGGATTTTTTAAAAAATATTTTTTCCAAACAACAACAAACGTGGATTTTTTAAAAAATATATTTTTTTTAAACAACAACAAACGTGGATTTTTTAAAAAATATTTTTTCCAAACAACAACAAACGTGGATTTTTTAAAAATTATTTTTCCCAAACAACAACAAACGTGGATTTTTAAAAAAAAAAAATTTCAAACAACAACAAACGTGGATTTTTAAAAAAATATTTTTTCCAAACAACAACAAACGTGGACTTTTTAAAAAATATTTTTTCCAAACAACAACAAACGTGGATTTTTTAAAAAATATTTTTTCCAAACAACAACAAACGTGGACTTTTTAAAAAATATTTTTTCCAAACAACAACAAACGTGGACTTTTTAAAAAATATTTTTTCCAAACAACAACAAACGTGGACTTTTTAAAAAATATTTTTTCCAAACAACAACAAACGTGGACTTTTTAAAAAATATTTTTTCCAAACAACAACAAACGTGGACTTTTTAAAAAATATTTTTTCCAAACAACAACAAACGTGGACTTTTTAAAAAATATTTTTTCCAAACAACAACAAACGTGGACTTTTTAAAAAATATTTTTTCCAAACAACAACAAACGTGGACTTTTTAAAAAATATTTTTTCCAAACAACAACAAACGTGGATTTTTTAAATAATATTTTTTCCAAACAACAACGAACGTGGATTTTTTAAAAAATATTTTTCCCAAACAACAACAAACGTGGATTTTTTAAAAAATATTTTTTCCAAGGATCAAGAGGTACGTAGATTTTTTAAAGAATATTTTTTCCAAGGATCAAGAGGTACGTAGATTTTTTAAAGAATATTTTTTCCAAGGATCAAGAGGTACGTAGATTTTTTAAAGACTATTTTTTTCAAGGATCAAGAGGTACGTAGGTTTTTTAAAGAATATTTTTTCCAAGGATCAACAAACGTGGATTTTTTAAATAATGTTCTTCAAGGATCAACAAACGTGGATTTTTTTAATAATGTTCTTCAAGGATCAACAAACGTGTATTTCTTAAAGAATATTTTTTTCCAAACACCAACCAACGTGGATTTGTTTTATACCTTTAGCCCTATGATATATACAGAAGATATATATCATTTAATACGAGCTAAACGTGCCTCATCGAAATGACTGTCTAAGACCCTTGGTGTCTTTGAACCAAATCCGATTCAGGACATTTAGAGTCGATCTAGAGGCTGCAAACGTTAATTCCCGATGAGATTATTCAAACTGGGTACATCGCAATATTATTATGAAACTTAGATCGAGTTCGGCTATGGGCAACATCGGTCCACTCCTTTGGGTACCTCTCTCACAAAAGGTCACTAAAAATAAATTATCTCATGGAACAAGAAAAGATCATCCAATTTACTGAAATCTTTGTAAAACCTACTATTTTTATCAGTGCTAGGATAGGTGCACCAATGGACATTATCGTCCTACTCCATCAAGTTCCTCTCTCACAAAGTGTAAAAATTATGAATATTCACAACAGATTTAGAATGAGAACGAGGATTCCGATTATCTTTAAAATTTCGCACATCTCAATATTTCTACCAACACAAGACTTACCACCCCTTCTGGTAACCTTCCCATAACGGATCAAAAATTTGAATACCCATAACTCTTACAGGATACAAAATGAGCATCCGATTGCTTTAAAACTCGGCGCATCCCAATATTGCTATCAACACAAGATCTAGTGTGAATGTTGAATATATCGGATCTCTCCTTCTGGTACCTCCTTCAGAAGTGGTCAACATTATGACTTTCAAAAAATGCGAAATAAACATTGGATTCTTTTCAAATTTCATACATTCCAATGTTTTTATTATCACAAGATCTAGAGTGAGGATGGTAGATATCGGTTCACTCCTTGTGAGTTAACATTTCCTATAAGCAAAATGCTTATAAAATGCCAAATAAGTATATAATCTTTTTACAATTCGCACAATCCAATATTTTTACTATCAGAAGATCTGGGGTGAAAATGGTAGATATCGGCCGCAATTCCAAAACTCATATCTGTCATTACTTTCGTGTATGAAAAATTTATGAGACATTTTTATGATAAATATTGAACATACAAATTTATTTTGTTCAGAGACTCACAATGAAATTTGATCTAGAATAATTCTTCCTTTAATACTTTTCCCAAAAAACGAAGTATAAAGGGAGATTCTGACTTGGATTGGAAACGTGTTAACAGTAAATATAATATAAACGTGATTTTCACTAGCGGGGCATACATTTCGAATTTTCATGATAACTATTGTACCTAGATGTATGGTTTATTCTGAGATGTATAGTGGAATTTTGTGTAGAATATTTCTCCTTTTGACAGGTTCCGCCTAAAACGAAATTTTATGTAACTTTCAGACCTCAATTCGAAAAAAAGGCGGAATAAAAATTGATCAAAAAATTAGGAAATATTTTCGGTGATATATTATTGATTTACAATAAAAATAGAGATTTTTGTTCTTTGGGGACTTGTAGCGAAATTTGATGAGGAATATTTCCGTCATTGACGTCATTCTTCTAAACCGATGTTTTGTAAGAGATTTTTGCATTGAATCACATAAAGTGTGGCTTTAACCCAAAAATGAGTTTTTAATATATATACATTTCTGGCGTTCCGTTTAAGGGAAGTTTTCAAACAAATTTTCCAAAAAGGACCAACAAGACCCCTTTGATGACTCGCCGATGTACGCGTCGTCTCGTTTTTCATAATCTCTGAGTTTTCCTCGTAATATATCTTGCACAATGTTATTTTTTAATTTTTTTTTTCACTGACATAACCCAGCTACGAAATTGCATTACAAGCCGTCGACACTACATTACACCTTAAAAATGCAACGCAAATTTTTGCCTCGTCACCAAATCAAAATAAAAATTTGATGCGAATATTTGTTGGTGAACTTCATAAAAAGTCGGCTACGTCAAATTGTGTTTATCTTGGCTCAGCGCACAGAGGAAAACAAAGCGTTTTAATGCATTTCTAAATTGAAAGGAAAAATGGGTAAACAAATAATTTCGAGGTTATAATAATGTTGGAGACGGGTGTACAGGGTGAGATGAAAAAACTGCAACAAACTTCACACTGTTGTCATTTTTAAGCCACTCGCCCGACAGCTGTTAAAATTATTTCAGTGACAGCTCATTATATTGTTTACAAGTGTACAAAAGCATTTTTGTGAGAATTTTCGAGACAAAAAGTTATTCGTGATGGAATTCAAGCGTGATAGTGTGATT